TAGCCAACAAGCGAGGAATGTATAGTGTTGATTCTAACCTATAGTTAGCAGCTCGGCTACAACCGGAGGAGTCCGAGCAGATGACCGGGGTTTTGTCCGCCCTTATCCGACTTGAACCTCACCATGAGCTCGATTCGACCTATCCAGATTCGAACGCCGATTGGGGATACGCTATCTCAATACCCTCCCTCTTGCGCAGACAATTGAACTGTAGCAACTGTACAAGTCCAGTTTTGGTGCAGTTCATGCACTGCTCAGTGCAATGTGGCCAACCACATGATCCATTCCTGTCATTCTTGTCACCGCCCAGCAACGGATTTTATCGATGGACGACAACAACAATGAGTAGTGATATCAATGGCACGGGCTGTTCCAGTCACACGAGTCACAATGGCTTCTTCCTGCAATGAACCACTTCACTAAGCGGGTTTTCCCGTCGGTCGATTGTCGTCAGCGGCGAAAGCCAGACAGAAAATGAAAAAGGAAATAGCCATGCCTAGAAGAACCGAACCGAACGGGCGGATATTTGGCTGGGGATCCACGAGGGCGATATCGGCCAATCCTGCATGCCATCCACAACTGAATATTGACTCATGCATTTGGTCCACCGTCTTTCTCTTGCTGGATTGAGTATCTCGTATGTTGCTCTCCATTTCGAGTCTCCATTCAATACCAGCAAGATCTGATATTCTGCTGTTTAAGAGCGTGCTGCTAGCCTGTTGGTAACCTGTTCGTCACCCGTGTCCCCAGTCCGATCCAACTAAAAATCCCACTGCTCCACCCACGCAATCCTTAAATTCTAACCCACTGCCCCTCGGGACGCCCCCCCTCTAAGTTCTAAGGTAGGTGCAGAAGAACTTACCCCGGACCTAATACACTGACTCGAGCCTGCCTCGCTGACAATCGAAGATACCCTCGACTTACCTCTTTCCTCCCCCACCACCCACCATGACCGTCCTCGACTTGCATCCGTTGCCGGCGGACGAGATCTTCGCCCTAAACCGCGCATACAACAACGACACCTTCCCGCAGAAGGTCAGCCTGGGCGTTGGCGTGTACCGCACCGACGATGGCAAGCCGTGGCCGCTGCCCGTAGTGCGGCAGGCGGAGCAGCAGCTGCTGGCGGAGGACAACCTGTTCCGGCACGAGTACACGGCGATTGAGGGCGACGTCCCGTTCCTGGAGCTGGCGCGGGACCTGATGTTCGGGTTCGACGCGAAGACGCCGACGGAGCAGCAGACGGCGCAGAAGGCGCGCATCGGCTCCGTGCAGGCGGTGGCCGGGACGGGCGCCAACCACCTGGGGGCGCTGTTCCTGGCGCACAAGATGAAGCCGCGAACGGTGTGGCTGTCGGACCCGTCGTGGGCCAACCACCTGACGATCTGGGAGCTGGCCGGGGTGCCGCGGCGCACCTACCCCTACTACAAGGCGGACACGCGCTCCTTCGACTTCGAGGGCATGATGGCGACGCTCGAGGCCAACGCCCAGGCCGGCGACGTCATCCTGCTGCACGCCTGCGCCCACAACCCCACGGGCCTGGACCCCAACCAGGCGCAGTGGAAGGCGATCGCCGACCTGTGCGAGCGCAAGCAGATCTTCCCCTTCTTCGACTCGGCCTACCAGGGGTTCGCCTCCGGCTCCGCCGACGAGGACGCCTGGGCCGTGCGCTACTTCCTCAACGAGAAGCCGCACCTCGAGATGTGCGTCGCCCAGAGCTTCTCCAAGAACTTCGGCCTGTACGGCCAGCGCGTCGGCGCCTTCCACTACGTGCTCCCCCAGGGCAGCCAGAACCTCCGCGACCTCGTCGTCAACAACCTCTGCCACATCATCCGCGGCGAGTTCTCCATGGGCCCCGTCGGCGGCTGCACCATCGTCAAGAAGGTCCTCACCAACGACGAGCTGACCTCCCAGTGGCACGACGATCTGAAGGTCATGAGCTCGCGTATCAAGTCCATGCGCCAGGCGCTGTTCAACGAGCTCGTGCGTTTGGAGACCCCCGGAACGTGGAAGCACATCGTTGAGCAGGTAAGTTACTTCACACAGTCCCCCACCGCACAAAAATCAAACCAGCCCACCAATCTAATCCCGCTTGCAGAACGGCATGTTTTCTTACACCGGCCTCACCCCGACTCAGGTCGAGGCCCTCAAGGAGAAGTACCACATCTACCTCCTTAAGTCCGGCAGAGCCTCCATCAGTGGTCGTAAGTGATTCCACCTTTTTTTTTCCCGGTCGTGGCAGCCTTGACTAATGATCTGTCGTAGTGAGCCAAGGCAATGTTGCCTATGTAGCGCAGGCTATCGACGATATTGTCCGTACAGTCAACTAGAAACCTTGGGGTGATAATTATATAAGATGAACAAAAGGTTTAGAAATGGTGGGGATGGAATGTAGATAGTGGATGAAATCAACTTCCGAGGGCCAAGCCCGCTGATAAGTATACTGTATATATCATGCGCACTGACAACAACACAAACAACAACAACACTGCAGTAGCTTACATGATAGATCTACGTGTCGAACTCGTACCTTTCACGTGGGATGTCTACGCCAACTACGTTCAAAAGGATAGAATGAAAGAAAGAAATTTAGTCTCACAAAAAAGAAACGTAAACTTCCAGATTTAAATCTACAGTAATGCCGCATACCGTACAATTTATAGGGTAGGCGGAAACGGCGCCAATTCGAGAAAAACACCAACAAACACCGAACTAGGAAGAAGCCACAAACAAACACAATCACAACTACCGGGATAATATCATGCATTCGGCAAAAAGAAACAGTTATGGTAATGGAGCATGGCTTGGGGGATAAAATAGAGCCAGTTAATTATTCTCTTTTCTCTATCGGCTATACATCCACAGGCGCTACAAAAAAAAAAGTCCATTTGAAAATCGTCGCAGTAATGGGTAAAAAGTAAAGGAACAGTAATGGGTAAAAAGTAAAGGAAGAAAAAAGTGATGAAGAGAATAAAACCCACGAAACAGCCGGAAGATATGGCTCAATGAACAGTAGCAGCAGCAGCAACAAACAAAACTATAGTGGAATTTCGTTGAAATCGCCTTCACCTTCCTTGGAATGGCGCTCCTTATCCTCCTCGTCGGTTGATGGTTTGTCCTTGTCCTCTATGTGGTGGTCGGATTGGTCATCTGCTGGGCTTGCCTGTTCGTCATGGTCGCTATCGCTGGCTTTAGCGTCCGAGGGCGTCGCTACCTCCGCCGTAGTGTGCTCTGCTTGGGCGGGTGGCTCGTCCTCAGCGTGTTCGTCTTCCTTCACTTCTTCCTCGTCGTCTTTGGGGGGTACCGGCGGTGGTGGTGACAGTCGGCCCTCGTCGGAGGAGACCTCCCTCTCTTCTGCGGTCGGCTGACCTGTCATCTCGGCTCCGGGGAATGGGGTAAGTGGTGGGTCCTCGAGCTGCTGCTGTACCTGCAGGGATCCCGAGGGAGCCAGGTTGGATGGCGACGGGGATAGTGACTGGTTCTGGGTTTGGGTTTGCTCCTGGTCCTGGGCTTGGTTCGGGCTCGGGCTTGGATTCGGGTTTTGACTGATCTGTGGCTGACCCGTGGCGGCGGTCAGGAGCGACGTCGCGGTCGACGTCGTGCGCTGATGCTGCGTGGAGCCATGAATGGGACCCAGCTGACGGGCCTTGGGATCCGCGTTCAGATAGTATCCGCGGACGCTGACGATGGTGCCTTCGGCCTCACAGGCATCGACCCACTCGGGCACCACCACGGGGATGTTCATCTCGACCGCCTTCTCCCAGAGCGGGCCGCGGCCCTCCGTGCAGACGAAATGCGTGGTATCGATGCGGACGGTGTCGATCAGTTTCCCGCCGATGCGGTCCAGCGCGGCCGCGAGCGCATCCTTCTGCTGCGGGTGCAGCACGCCCGCCGTGACCGTGATGCCCGACAGATCGGTCATCTTGTGGGTGCGGCAGACGAGCTTCTCGGACTGGTAGGTCCCCGCGGTGGTGCGCAGCACCAGGTGGAAGGTGTACTCGGTGTGGATGGCCAGGCCGCTGATCTTGGTGCTACGTGTCTCGAGCGGGCGAGGGATCGAGCCGGCCTTGGAGCCATTGCGGTAGAGGGAGAGGGATTTCAGCGACGCGGTGGCCAGGTCGATGGGATCCCATTCGAGGACGAGGGAGGTCTGGGTTGCATTGCGGAGGCGGAGAATCGGGGGGGTGGGGGTCTTGATGCCGTAGGTGTTGAGGATGCGTTTCTGCAGCGTCTGGAAGGCGGTTGCGCTGGCGGTTTCGGCGGCGTGGTTGCGCGCGACAGTGATGTCGACGATGCTACCGGATGTAATGTTGTTAGGCAGGAGGACAGAGGGGAATTCGATCTTGGGAGATTGTAATAAGCGAATTAGCATGGAGTAGGTGGGTGATGCGTTCGATCGAGAGATGCAAAGGAGCCTCTGTCATCACACAGTGGTCACAATTCCAGTGACAGTCAGAGGGCTACTTACCAATCTGTTGTCTTGAGTCAAGAGGACGGCGACTCCGGCGTCGACCTTTCCGACAGTCAAGGATACCAACATGGCGGATTGGGTGGAGGAGCGCAAGCTGTAAACTGTACCGACTAAGCAACCAGAGATAGCGCGCAAGATGAATGATTTATGATGAAATTTAAGGGGTATTCACTGCACGGGAAAGAAAGTCTCTGTCCAGGCAGTATTGCCGGCGCGATAGCAAGAAAGAGGAGGAAGAGGAGGAGTACGTAAGTCAAGTCAAGTTGGAGGAGATGGAGTGTTATGTTTTGTTTCTCGAAGATCGGCCGGTTAGGAACAAACCAAACCTAAGTTGTCAACGGACCACTCGTTCAACCGCGATCAAACAGCATGCCATACCATACGAGATGTTTATTTCACTCCGTGTATTTATAGAAGAAAGGGCCATTCTCATCTTGATTCAGGGTGAAATTGTGCATTATTTACGCTTATAATCCCATAAGATACGTTGCTTCAAAAAGCCAGCCCCTGCTTTCGGAGCATGAAGCATCACTTTGATTATCCTGTCCACAATCTCTCGCATATCCTTCTCTATGTCCGGAGACTTTGCTGTGATGACCTCTTCCCGAACGGTAAAGTCAATCGATCCTCGTAAACCGGCAATCTGTGTTGCCTCAGCAGTGGGCCTTGGAAAAGAGCTGATCGCTCGGCCGTCCTGATCGTATCCACGATCCGCCAAAGCTTTGCGAAAAGCCACTCTGGACCTTCCCATTGCCCATGATCGAACGACACTCTTGTAATCTAACAGCAAACGAAGACCAAATGAGGACCATAACGTATCGCGAGGCCGATTCTCGTATAGATGAGTGATTTTGACTCTTGCAGGGCTGTTCAGAGCTAATTGTTGAGTGGCGATGAAAGGCATTTCGTGTACGACTTGATAACGAATGGTGTATCGTGCCGAATTGAAGCGGAGCCCTGTCGGGGCTCCAAGCCTTGCTGCGCCCTTGGCCATCGATGCTCAGGTGGATGCCCTTTGTCAAGAGAGTCGGTTCCTACTGACAAGAGTGGGAGAGGAGAATGCAGGCAGATCCTCGAAAGGAAAGGCTGTCAGCACCGGGATAGCACTAAGAACCGGGATTAAATCCAATTTATGCCCCAGAAAACAAGTAAAGCACTCTGTTGGTAGTATTGCTATGGATGAGGCAGATGGGGGTTCGGAAGCGACGAGCTGGAAAGCGACAATTGATGACTTTGGTGCGTCAGTTCCATGTAGGCTGGTTGTGAGTAAAACAGCGCTGCCAAGTACAGATGCCACAGAGTAGAGAAAGCGTCGGAAGGTAGTCAGTTGTCAAGATCCATGTTTGCATGGGGCATAGGTTAGTGATTGATGAAGCTACTCAGTAATTACTTTCTTCCTCCAGGCTCTATCGATAAAGCGACTCGACCATTTCTGCCGGGCGGTCGACAATTTCTGCTTCTGAATGGTGGACTTGATGCAGGCATCTAAGGCATCAATCAGGCTGCTACGCCACTTCCCCCACTAGTGCTTACATAAGAGGCGGCAGAGCCTGAAAAGCGTCGAAATCATCGTTGTCTCTTTCTGTCTTCCACCCCCACTTTCAACCCTCTGCTGGTCCGTAGGGACGTCCATCTCAACAACCCACCCCTTTCGTGTCCGATCATCGGCTATCGCATCAAGTGAAATACCAACGCGGTTAGCGAGATTGCACCATGCCCAAGAACAAGGGAAAGGTGAGAATATCAACCCCCCATGAACCCCGCTTCACAGATTTTCGCTTCAGACTTTCTGGTCGCCACGACTCTTACCACCGGATCCCGCTGCGCCCGAGTGCCTCAGCAGGGTTACGTGGGTGTTCTAGGTGGCGAGGCCTGGCGCTGGTGAAACTCACATCGCGGGATTCTTGTCACAGCCTTGCTACACATGAGGACCTTGTGCTAACGTATGTTTTCACTACCAACAGGGCGGTAAGAACCGTCGTCGTGGAAAGAACGAGAACGACAACGAGAAGCGTGAGCTCGTTTTCAAGGAGGAGGGCCAGGAGTACGCGCAGGTCGTGAAGATGCTCGGTAACGGCCGCCTGGAGGCGTTGTGCTTCGACGGCGAGAAGCGCCTGGCACACATCCGTGGCAAGCTCCGGAAGAAGGTCTGGATCAACCAGGGTGATATCATCCTTCTCTCGCTGCGTGACTACCAGGACGAGAAGGGCGACGTCATCATGAAGTACACCGCCGATGAGGCCAGAAGTCTCAAGGCCTACGGCGAGTTGCCCGAACACGCCAAGATCAACGAGACCGACACCTACGGCCACGAGGGCTTCGAGGACAACGTCGAGTTCGACGAGGACCGCGAGAGCGAGGAGGAGAAGGAGATCGATGTCGACGAGCTCTAAGCTCGCCTTCTTCCCTCTCGTTTCCGATGCATTCATTACCCTCCCCTGCGCGAGGAGAGCTCCCCTGGGATTTACTCTTGTCTCTCTTCCCCGCCACACGTCCTTCATGCTTTTTCCTCTCGACACGTCAAATGTCCTTTTTTTCCGGGAAGGAAAATCCGCCTCAGTTCTCGGATTCCTGTGGGAGCAAGAATGTGCTTGCGCCGGAGGGTTCTGTGAAACGGTGGCGGCGGTTGGCCTGGGCCCTACTTACCCTGCGCCATCCGGCTCTTTTCTCCCCGGGAAGGTCTCTGGAGGAATGGATGAAGGCAGCAGCGGCGCCTTTTCTCACCCGCTTCGCTACATGCGCTCGCCTCAATCTTGCGTGTGGCCTTTCGCAATATAGGGTATGAATCATCGGCAGGGATCGACCTGCGGGTTATCTCGGTTGGGTCTTCTTGGTTCGCCAGATCATGATCCATCAGTTGAGCTGCCTTCGGGTTGTCTACGGAGGAGTGGGTCGCAATACGTACCGAAAAAAAGACGGGCTGCGTGCGGCCTGGCTTTGTGTGTTGACGATTTTCTTTTTCTGTTCCCTGGTTTTGCCTTCTTCAAAATTCGCTCCTTTGTTTTTCACTTTTGAAAACCCGGATGATAGAGTTATGAAAAGGTTACGAATATTAAAATTTACTACCAAAGCAAACTTCATACGATACGTAGACTTGTAGTTTATCCCTTTCATACCGCTTCACTTACACAAATACGACTGATGAAGACACTCATGATGTGCATAATGGTACTGCATGCGTCTTAGCTAATCCTCAAACACGCTCTTCCGAAAAAAACCGACTATCTTGCGGGCAGCCTCGATCCCCACGAGAGGGTCCAGCTGCTCCACACTCATATTCGCGACCTCATGGATGTTCTCCGTTTCCAGGATCAGCCGCTCGAGAACATTGGGGCTCACCCCGGGCACAGCTCGGAGCATGTCCTGAGGCAGGAGATTAAAGGTCCGGTGCTCGATGCCCGCCGCGGCCATGATGTCGCCCGGATGGGACGAGGAGACGAGATCCATGTCGAGGCCGATCTGCACGGCGCGGATCGGGTCCGGCTCCGGGTTGTTCTTCTTCAGCTCGGCGAAGATTTCCGCGGTCTGGTAGGGGGAGGAGGACCAGATGATCCGCAGCTTGGGGAACGTCAGGGTGAGGAGGACGAGCAGATGCTGTGCCGACTTGGGGCTGGAGGGGTTGACCAGGGAGCTGTTCGTGGAGAGGGTGCTGGTCCCGGAGGATGAGAAGCCGAAGTCCGTCATGAAGGAGGTCCCCGGCGTGGTCGCGGACGCGAAGGCGTCGAAGGTGAAGGACTTGTTCTGGTCGAACTCGATGAGCAGGAAGGGGTTCTTGTAGTGCTGGAGCATCGTCTCCGCCTGGTTGTAGAGACGGCCGTTGCGCAAGGAAGTGATCAGGTCGCGGATGGACTTGCGCTCGACGCAGATGTCCGGCGTGAGGATGTAGTCGCCCACGGTCAGCTGGCAGGGGATCACGATCATGTTGTTTCCGTGCAGGAGGGACGGCAGCGCGCTTCTGAACTCCCGGACGTCGACCACGACCCGGGGTGGTGAGGCCGTTGCGGCGAGTCGCCCGCCTCCTGCGATGCGAGTGTTTACGGTCCGAAGGAACTGCTCCTGGGGGTCCTCCAGGCTTTTATCGTGGACGATAGTCACGGCCATGCTCTATAAATATCGTTAGTAAATGGTGCGTTGAAAGGTGCAAGAGATACGTACGCCCTTCTCCTTGATCAGCTTCGTAAACGAGTCCTTCTCCCGTCGCACGGCACTCAGGTACCGCTGCTCTTCCACCGAACCTCCATAGTAGACAAAATACACGCGCACGTTTCTGCCCACATGAGAGCTCCGGTAGACCTCAACTCGTCGGATGAATGCAGGGTCCGGTTCGTACATGATGATGTACCGTGGACGAACCTCCTCGAGAATGTGCTCGTCCATGTCGCCATCATAAGGGTGTATCATAATCAAATCGTTCATATCATATAGTTCGTAATAGTCATCCATGTCGTCCAAGTCCTCCACAAGTATCTCCTCCTTCTGAGTTTCCTCGACTTCTGTAGGCTTTATTTCATCCAAGAGTGCCGTGACTTGGCCCGAAGGTTCCACCTCCACCTGAATGCCGGCATTGGGCGCTCGTCCGGGGCCTGCTGCTGCCCCTCCACCACGAACGCGACGTCGTTTGTTCGCGGGTGCTCTGGGATTCACAGTCCCCGGTGCAGGCGTGCTCGTTGCGCCATTGTAGTCTTCATTGGGTGGTTTGGAGGAGAGATTCTTGCTAACGTTGGATAAAGAGGCCTTCCAGTCTAGGTATTCTCGTAGCCTTCGGCGCAACATAACTTCAGCTGAGCCTTTCTTTCCACCCACAGCATCACCAGGGTCAGAGCTCTCCCGCTTCCTGTCCCCGACATGAGCATGCATTGTTGCAAGGTATTCACGAAGCTGACGGCAGGTTCGCTGGTCGTTGCACATAATCAACACGGTGCTGTTTGATTCGTCAACATTTGAGGGATTCAGATATGCATCAGTCTCAATCTCCTCAAGCACTTCTGCCACGACCTCCCACTTCGGCTGTTCTTCTAGAACCGGTTGCAAGGTAGTAGGAAACGAAGTCAATGATGAGCGAGCCACCTCACTACTTATTTTGCCTTGATAAACCCTCGCCTTAGCCGTTTGAAATAGCACATCAGCAGCGTCAAGGAAGAGCCAGGGGGAGTAATTGTGCCTTGTAGAGCCGGGAGGCGGAGTATGGGCGGTCACAATGAGATCGAGAAATTTGAGAAACGAAACGGCATCATAGGTAAGCAAGGCACTGATGGTCAGTCAGCGATCGAAAATGGATAGTCGACACGTTCATTGCAGTGGGGGCAGACTTCATAGACTGAAGAAGTGAACATACTGGAGAATGGAACGCAGATCCGACAAGTCGCTGACAATTTGCCTGGTTCTGAAGCTCACCCGATGCCACATCGGGTCAAGCTGGCGCCTGATTGCAATGTCAAAGCTTCGATGCAAAGCACTGTCCAGGGTCCAGTCTGCGATATCAAGCCCAGTATTCGCCTTCTTTAGCTCTCCGATGCAAATTTCCACACACTCAAGGACCGCATTTTGTATGTCCCGCATCTTGTCACTCATCGGTACCTCAAGCTCGATCACCTCGGCTTTTCTATGGCCTTCCAAGGACTCTGCAACTGTGACATGGAAGCGCGGCCATAGCGATGCTTTGCGGAGAAAGAGATTCCGCATGGAGGTGGCCAATGGAGCAAAGCCGGTTGTGAACGGCTCGGGAGAGTCCGAGAACGCTTTGAGGAATCCGGTCTTGTTCGCTTCTCTATATACACGAAGGATAAAAGCTTCGAGGGAAGTCGCAAGAATTCTACACCTCATCAGTATTCGGAATGCATTCGGTAGTTGGTGGCTTACTTGTCGGCATGGAGCACAACCATGCCCGTCACTTTCGAAGGGTCGAGGAGCTCTGGTAAAGGCGTTCAATCAGAGGTCAACACCCTTGCAAGCATACAACGTGTTTTACTTACTGGACAGAAAGTCCACCACTAGTATTCTGGATGTCACACTCAGAATACCACCCGCGGCATATAGCTTCTCTCTGTACGACGTCTAGCACGAAATACAATGAGCGTGGACCGACCGTGACCTACCTCAACGAAACCGTGGCTCTGTCAGTATTGATCACCTTGAGACCCCTGGCCAGAGGCGTTTTACTGACGGCATAGTGTTCCGCAAGCGCTGCAAGCTGTGGTCAGTCACTTTCCGAGGATTGCCGTCATAGATTGGAACTGCGATCAGGCTGCGCACCCTCTCCAATCCACTCATTCTCTCGATCATCAGCACCAACGACCAATACAAGGTTGTTTCCGGCCGCATCATAGAAATGAAGTAGGTTGGTCACTAGCCGGAGGAGGCCGAGGCCTCGAGCAAGAACCACCAATTCATCCTCCGCGCGCAGTTCGGTGAAGATGTCCTGCTGATATTGCTGATTTCCTCCTGTTAGCGAGTCCCTGGCATGTTCAGTCAGAGGAGGGAGATATCGGAGCACTTACTAGAGGCAGGGACAGCTTCACCGGGACATTGGCTCGTTCAGGCGGCATGAGGAAACTCTTGACGCGACAAAAGACAGCCTCGCATCGCGCTGTGAGGAGCAAAGTGAACGCGGGGTCACGTGCATCATGATGTAATGATTCCTTTTTGGGACACTCCTGCAACGGGTTGCAGGCAGAAGCAGGGCAGATGAGGTATACTAATGCAATAGGGTTGGTGTGCTATTTCTATGAGAAGAAATGATAGGAACGACTGACAACGTCTAACTACGGGTTTCACAGAATGGTGAAAGTGAAGCACAGTGGTATGCCAGTATCATCTTGCAGTCCGCGCCAAGTAAATATATCCCCGCAATCGCAATATCAAATAAGAATTCATTTATCAAACAACATACGTAATTCTCATGATTAATACACAGTATGAAAGCAGGCCGACCATCTAATATGTCCGGCACCTTCACTGGTTCAGCTCCTTCTTACGCGCCTCAATCTCTTCCTTTGTTGCTTTGGGTGGCATGTCTAAAGATAGCAGGGTCAATGAGAAGAACAGTTCACCAGTAGGAAATCTCCAAACTCACTGTCCGGGATCTGAGGGCCCTTTGACAGATGATCGAGCATCGAGGCTTTCTTTGTATCCTGGCCAGGGTCTCTCTGCTCCGAGGAGTTGGAAGGGCTATCTTTGTTACTGCCGTGGGCAGTAGGGAAGCTAGCAGGCTCGGGGATGACAGGCATTGCGATGAGTAACGTGTTTATCTTGACTTAGTGATGAATAGATGTATAGTGAGGATAGAGAGCGGCTGGATGATGATTCTGGGGAATTCTTGACAATGGTTGCAGCGAGAGAGGCGGGCAGAGACAAGCGGGCTTTTCTATAGTTGCAGGCCACGCGATGACGTCGGTTGGGCTTCGATAATTCGACATTGATAAGTTGACAATGTAAGCACACTCGCAGCCACATGACCGATTCTGGATTGAAGCGTGCTCACTACAGGAATAAGAAGTTGCCTAGAGACCAAAGTTAATTACATTCTAGTAGTCATTGTCTTCTGCTGTACTGTGTCATTTCTGCCTAAGATGGCCTTTGACAAATGCGGCAACCTCCCGTTCAGGATAAGGACACAATAAATTGGAGGGTTTCGGACTATGGAAGCGATTTCGATGACAGTTGATGAATTAGAGATGCGGACATACGAACTGCATTCGTGTGAAGAAAACACAAGAGTAATTATCATATTGCCATAGCCAATAGAGTATGGAGGGTAGTAGCAGCAATCGAGGTAAATACTCGTACGTCGTAGGCCCAGCCCACCGGAATCCCCAGTGCCGCCGCCCGCCTAAGCCTCCCTCTTTCTCTCTCCGCCCAGGCTCCCCTCCCCTCACGTTTCTCTTCTTGCTACTTGACCTCTTTGCCCCCGTCATTCAACCTTGAAGGCAGATTCTTACAACAGCGGTCAGTGTCTCCCTGCGCGCGTCCTTCTGAGTGACTCTCATACCAGATAATAATTCACTTCTTTCGCCGTTCATGCTAACTTCCCACTCAGCCTCCTTCAGACTCCGAGGGAATCCAAGCTACCCCCTACTCCCAGTGACATCCGTTACTGCCGCGCCCTATCAGCCAACAGTCGTGCCTGAGGATCGACAACCCTCCTGATCCATTGGGCCTCTAGAATCGCACCAAACCACCTGCGATGCGTCCGCAAGACACTATACAATCGCTCTGATCGCCATTTCAACTCTGCGCGCGCTCTGTTTGTCTAAAACTCCCGGTATATCGCCATGCCTTCTATACTTACCGACGCCGACAAGGAAATCGTCAGGAGGACTGTTCCCAAGCCTGCGAACAAAATTCTTGCTGTAGCTGTTGCACGCCTCTACGTTGCATATCCGGATCCTCAAAGATGGACTTATACTGGTTTACAAGGTGCTGCCGTGCTGGCAAATGACCTAGTTGGCCGGACCTTCTGGCTTAAGTTGGTGGATATATCGGTAAGCGCATCCCTGATCCAAGACATATTTATCTCTTTACTGATCATTCAATTCTCTACGGTGCAGCCTGCAGGAAGGGGAGTTATCTGGGACCAGGAGATCTACGATAATTTCGCATATAACCAGGACCGCACATTCTTCCACACCTTTGAACTCGAGGACTGCCCCGCTGGGTTCTCTTTCGCCGACGAAAAAGAGGCTAAGACCTTCATCAAGAAGGTCCACGAGCGGGAGAAGCATGCGAGCAAAGAGACTCGGTTGACACCCTTTGCGTCGACTCGTGGCCAGGGCCCAGCCCCAGTCGTCAATGGCAAACATGGCGTGGGTCGATCGTTGTTCGGCAGCTTGCTTGGGCATCGCTCGTCGTCCGGGTCTCACGCTCAAATGGTTACGCCTGCGGAACTACCACCTGCACCTTCGATTCAGATCGCCCCCCCGCCGCCCGCCGCCAGCCCGCCACGTAAGGAGTTGCCTTTCGATACTAGCGACCCCGCATGGAAGGGACTACTAGATGAACTTCTGCAGATGGGAATCACAGAGGACCAGATAGCGGAGAATTCTGATTTTATCAAGGCCTATATTGAGCAGAAACAGGGCGCTGCTGGTTCCGACTCCAGTCCATCTATTGCTGAAGATCAGAGGCGAGGAAAGGCTCCTCCTCCGCCTCCCCCATCTGCACCACCAGCTCCGAAAGTGGCAGCCCTCAGTCCGCAGAACACTGGAAATAGTGGTGGCAGCAGGCGCGGCGCTCCTCCGCCCCCTCCTCCGTCGCGCAGAACTCGGACTGATGTCGATGACGAACCTGCCACGCCTGCATCAAATCGCGAGCCTTCGCCCCCAAGAAACCGCTTCCGTGCCCCTCCACCTATTGCGGATGCCGGTAAATTTGCCCACATAGCGGCATCCGTGGCCCCTGGTCGTCAGCGAGCAATGTCCAGCACAAACCCAGGCCCTCCTCCTCCCCCGCGGCCTCCAAAGACGCCAATGGAAGAAAATCACTCTCGCTTTGGTATTCCACCTCCGTTCGAAGGAGTGCGAAAGGTGTCTGCTCCGCCGGCACCACCCAGCCGCAGCCCCTTACCTTCTGCACCTCCGCCGCCGCCTCCGCGCACTATGAGTCCTGCGGCGCCGCCCCAACTACCACCCAAAATCCCCAATGCTGCAGCCCCAGGTCCCCCACCACCTCCTCCAAGAAGTCCGGCTTCAGTACCCCCGCCTCCTCCACCTGTGCCTTCCAGCTCCCGGCCGATTCCACCGCCACCCACGAGTGCTGCTGTTCCGCCGCCCCCTCCCCCACCACCACCACCACCATCGTCAAGCGTGCCTCCTCCCCCGCCGCCCCCGCCTCCGTCCAGCACGGGTCCGCCTCCCCCTCCGCCGCCGCCACCCGCACCAGGCGGTTTTGCTCCCCCTCCTCCCCCTCCTCCCCCTCCTCCATCTGGATCTGGCGCTCCTCCACCCCCACCACCCCCTCCTGGAGTTGGCGCTCCTCCACCTCCACCCCCTCCCGGGGCTGGCGGTCCTCCGCCCCCACCCCCGCCAGGTGGTGCCGCCCCACCGCTGCCTGCTCCTGATGTAGGTAGGAATGACCTCATGGCTGCCATTCGAGCATCTGGAGGTAAGGGAGGTACTGGCTTGCGGAGGGTCAAAGATTCGGAAAAGAAAGACCGAAGTGGTGCCTTTGTGCCCGGCTCTAGCGAGTCAGCTGCGGCCACACCAAGTACTGGAAGCGCGCCTCAAGGAGGTTTGGCTGGAGCTTTGCAAGACGCCCTGGCTAAGAGAAAGCAGAAAGTCAGCGGTAGCGGTAAGTACATGTCTACTTTACTATGCGCTCCTTGCGGTATACCCAGTGCTGATTTCTATCGACAGATGACGAAAAGGAGGACGATGATGATTGGTGATAGCTGCGTCGTATCTACCTTTCCAATGATTTCTTCTGGCGTTGCAATGCATTGAGCATATTTGTTCGCGCCGGATACCTTTGCTCAATATCGTTTCTTGCTGATTATTGCGCTTGTTGCGCGGTTGGCCGGTAAGTGTCTTTGCAAGACTGTCCATGCGCAATGCAGCTATACTTCCTGATCGGAAGATTGTGGCTTCTTGAACGCATTGCACTACTTTATTCTATAGACAAAAATTCGGACTCTGGCATCTCGTTATGCCGTATTAAGACTAGACACGATACGTAGTATTGAGTAGCTGCAGTGGGTAGCTGTAGTCCACTGTCACTTAGCCCATTGTTTACCGTAGTCAGGAACATTTTCCGTATTGTGACGTCATATCACGAATGGCGCGTCCAATCGGGCGGCAGCCAGGGATTCTATAGCATTAGGATGGATTGGATGTTATACCTGAGTCCCGTCCTGTACCGTCATAACACATCTCAGTCCAACCACTCTGTTCTCGCACTGCCCCAGTCAGACGAGCAGGCGGGCAGGGTTTCAAGGAAATTCTCATGCTGAGTTCATATCAGAGCCGGGAACCAAAGTGGAGTGACAATCCCAAAGCATCTTCGTATGTCAGTCGGGGCACTGGCTAGGTATCATTTTCCCCCGAAGTAGTCATGAACACAAAGAAGACAAACTGCAGCATATAGATCCATGTAAAAGACTTCTTAAGCGTGATTGCGTATCCCATCTTTCACTAATGAATTGTCTGTCTATCATGGTCCCTTCCAGGCGTTGAGGAATAGAGAGTCTTTACTTATCTCAGATAGGCGACGGATAAGGAGCCGGATCATTATAGGCCCGGACGCGCGCAACAACTTGGGGCGCGGGAAAAAGATAGTCGAGCCCATCTCCGCCGGTCAGAAACTACCCAAGGATGAGTGGCGGTTGCCTTTGTGGTTCTTGATGAAGTCGTCGCACGCGCCTCAGAAATGCCGTCTCCGTCGTCTCTGAAATCATCAGCCCCGTCGGCGTCTCTCCTCCGGTTTCTGCGCTCTCAGTCCGAGTCGCTTTTTTTCACCAACAACCCAACAGCCTGCGGCCAGACTCGTCCACCGCTTCGTTTGCCTTCACTGCGAAACCTCACCAACAACTGCAATCGAGTTGAAACCCCACCATCGCAAGAACCGCTCCAGGCGAGTCTATTACCGCTACCGAGTTTCTCAGCTCGAGGCCGTGGCGGTGCACGATGTCGGACCTCATTTACTCCACCTCTCGCAACGCCGGCATTTCACGTTACTAATGCGCAACCATCGCGCGCCGTTTCCACCAAAGACCGGCCTCTCTTCCGCAGGCTCCTTGATTGGAGGCGGAGCAAGGCTGCGGAAAGCAACAAGTATGCGTGCAGTCCGCCCACATTGATCGGTGACGGCACGGAGCCGGGCTTCACACTTGGGCGCGGATTGGCGGCCAAGGCTACCAACGAACCGCGACTGCGATGCACGGAGTTTGATAGCAACGGAAACGTCACCCTGGTGAACGGAGAGTTCAAGAAGAGTGAGCTGATCGCCAAGGTGAGTGACATGCATGCTACATGAATGTCGTGGAAATCGCATTAACCGCCACGTCCAGTATGGCCTTCTCCCACGGGATTTGCGCAAAATCGACTCGTCAACCCTGCCTCACATTCTGGTCCGGCCCAGCGCGATTCTTATCAATCTTCTTCACCTCCGCGTTTTGATCAAGGCCGATCGTGTGCTTGTGTTTGATGCCTACGGCTCAACCGACTCCTACATGCAGTCCCTGTTCGTTTATGATCTGGAGGGTAAGCTGCGGCAAAGACAGGGACAAAGCGCGGGCGCTTTACCTTACGAGTTCCGGGCGCTCGAAGCTGTGTTGATCAGTGTCACAAGTGGCTTGGAGGAGGAGTTCAACGGCGTCAGAGAACCCGTCGTGCGCGTTCTGCGGGCCTTGGAAGAGGATATCGATCGGGAGAAGCTGCGGCACCTGCTGATCTACTCGAAGAAGCTGGGTACTTTTGAGCAGAAGGCTCGACTCGTGCGTGATGCTATCGATGATCTGTTGGAAGCGGACGACGACTTGGCTGCGATGTACCTCACTGAGCGTCAAAAGAATATCGAGCGTGAGGAGGATGATCATCAGGAAGTCGAGATGCTACTGGAATCATATCATAAAGTCTGCGATGAAATTGTCCAGGCTAGCGGCAACTTGGTGACAGGGATTCGCAACACGGAAGAAGTGTGAGTATTACACGCTATTGAAGTTCTGTTATGGATAAACAGCTAATTGCCTCTGTGTCAAGTGTCAAGGCTATTCTGGACGCCAACCGCAACTCCCTCATGCTTCTCGACCTAAAATTCAGCATCGGCACACTCGGACTCGCGACTGGAACTCTTTTCTCCGCACTGTACGGAATGAACTTGAAGAACTTCATCGAGGAGTCGGATCTGGGTTTCGGCGCGGTCTCTGTGACCTGCTTCGCTATTACACTTGTCGTCTGCGTGTATGGGCTGGCCAAGCTGCGCAAGCTCCAGCGTGTCAGGATGTGGGGTGAAGACGGCGCAGGCGGCTCGCCTATGGTCCATCTACCAACGAGAAGTGGAGCAATTGGCCATCGGCCAAATTGGCGAGCTGATTCCATTGATCCGGTTTGGGGTAGTCTGCCTGGGGAAGCCCGCTCGGAGAGACTGAAGCGCATCAGGGACAGTTCAGTTGCAGCAGCTGTCAGGTCCGCCGCGGCGCAGCGCGCATCCTCGGCTCCGACCGCCAATCCCACTTCGAAGGCAGAAGCTCGTGAGCCTAAGGAGGCATAAGTGCTTCGTTCAGCGATTGGTGTATGGCTCGCCATTGTTGTCTCTTATGATACCCGTGTTACGGCGCCAATTCAGCAATGGTGATACCGACGATAGTGAATGTGTGATGTGTCGGTGAAGGCAAGTAAATCCATATAATATCTCTTCGCTCATTGTATAGAAAATGCATGGTCGGAGTTTATTTTGTTTCCATAATACTTTGATCGGACTGTTCGGTTCCTGATTCTTCTCACTCACTGTATGAGGACTCCCTTCTCAGTCATTTATTTGGCAAAGCCGAGCTCAGCATCGACGTCGATAGATTCCTAGAAACTTCTTATAGAATTGTACAGCTCTATTGTATGATATTTCCTCGTAACCCAATCCTCGTATAGGACGCTCTTGTGCAAGTTTCGAGAACGCCCCCCATCAATGACTGCCACCACGCTGCTTCCCCATCCCAGGACCCTTATTGATCCCTCTCGCTCTTTCTATCCAGATCTTCGCCGCGGCTTCCACGCCTCCCTCTCGAGCACAATCCCGCTGCACAGCAGCCATGATCTTCCCAAACACCTTTTCAGCATCAGCACCAGCACTATCATCCACCCCAGCATCGCCGGCCACCTCCGCCTCAACCTCCCTCTCCCCTCCCCTCCCCCTCCACCGCACCATTGTCCCCCTCCGCCCCCCAACAACAGCCATATTCCTCGTACTGGGGATCCTTAACAACGTCTTCTCAACCTCATACCCCACCTCCTGGGCCACCGCCATCGTCTTCGCCGTCAGCGAACCATACATACTCTTCAAAAACCCCGCCTCCGTCGCCTGCGCATCCTGCCTCTCCTTCCGCAGGGCCTTCAAGTCCCCCGAATCGGGCTGCTGCTGCTGCTGCTGCTGCTGCTGCTCCTCCTCCTCTTGCCCCCCTTTCCCCTGGTCCTTGGCGGAGGTAGACGCACCCTTCGGCGGTGGATACCGGTACTTGGCGCCGGACAAGGCATGCGAGCAGCAGGGGATCGCGACGAACGGGGACGGGTTGGCGGGGCACAGTAGCGCGGCCATCAGGGGCGTCCAGACGGTCAGTTCGTCCGCGTGGTTGGAGATGATGAATGTGTCTTTGGGGAAGTGGCCGGTGTGTGTTGGGATGTTGAGGTTGAAGGGGTTGTTGGAGCTGGGGCTGGCGCCGGAGCTAGGGCTGGAGGGTTCGGGTTCGGCGTCAACACCGACTACTGCATCGCTGAAAGGCGCAGGGATATAGATCTCCTCCTTTAGGCGGAGTTGGATCCACTCCGGAAAGATGCCCCATGTCTTGCGGCGGCGGGCGTCGAAGCCCCAGCCTGAGTAGCCTTCTTGCAGCAGGATGTAGACGAGGACGCCGTTGCCGCAGGCAACGTCTACGAAGCCGGGGAATTCCGGGCTAGTGGTGGTTGGAGGACTGCGATCATCCTCCGGGACGACGCCGTACATGCTGCGCCAGAGCTCGATGAGGAAGGCGGCGATGGAGAGGTCCTCGAAGACGTGCTTCGAGGGCTCGGTGGTTTCGACCCATCGCTGACACAGGTCGCTGGCGTATTTGGCCTTCAGGCGCGTGTAGGTGTTCTGCACGAGGTGTTGCGGGAGGATGTTGTCTTTGAGGGGGTTTTTGTTGGCGCCTAGGTGTTTTTGGTTGATGGATGGGGAGGAGCCTGATGATGATGATGGGGTGGGCAGGTGGGTGGTCCGCGCGAGGCGGATTTGCGTGTTGAGGAGGGCTTGTAGGGTGCGTTCGAGGCGGTTGGTGATGGGGAGGTTGGGGAAGAGGAGCGTGTGTAAAGTTAGGGTTCCTGGGCCTGGGGTTGGGGTGGGGGTTTGTTCTTGGGAGGGATGCTCTGTGGTCGTGGGGTTGGGGTTGATGGTGGTCTGATTGTAGTCGTAGAGATAGGCTAAAGAGCGCAGTGTGGGGTGGTAGTAGGGGATATCCTCCTCCTTGGTGATGTGGGGTGTGTAGATGACCAGGGAGCGTCTGCAGCCTCCTTCAATTCCAGCCGTCGTCTCTGCTTCGTAGAAGTGACAGGTTTGGTCCAGGGTCCGGTCCAGCTTAGGGTTCCGGGGCACTAGGCGTCGGACAATTGTCCTGGTCAGGGTGAAGCCGGCGACATCGCGCGCGGAGGTGGGCTCGACCTCGGCCTCATCCTCTGCGCCATTGAGACCTCCAGTAGATGCGATGACATCCGCATTGGCATTGCCGGTGAGCGCGAAGGACTGTGCCTTCTCCCGTGGGGTGCGCAATATCCCCTCGCTGTCGAAGAGGATATCGGCCCGAAACAGGTGGCTGGAGTTGACGTTGGGGTTGGCCAGCAGGTACAGTGTCAAATCCTGCATCACTTCGGGCACAAACGACAGGCCATGTTCGTTGAGATCCTGAGAGGTCGTCCAGTCTTCTGTCTCGCTATGCAAGATGGGTGATGGCTCCAGGGTCTCTGCCAGTGGTTTCCCCGAGAGCTGAGCTGGGTCTCGGGGTGGCTTGCGCGAGGTTCGAGTCATTATTGCTCCTCGCCTGCTGCCGTATATACAAGGCTAGATGCGAGAGACAAGCTTGTTCTTGAGATACTTTGTGTTGATTTAGATCTCTCTATCACTTGTGTGTTCTCCTGCTATCAGATTGATGGGTTTCTATCAACTGTGGAGAATTCTGCCTTGAATATTGATTAGTCATTTGTACAATTGCACAGAAGTCGGGAAACTTGAAGTCTACATAGTACATACTTGTAAATCAATGGCTGGGACCTAAGGCTAAGTCAAATCATGCCTATAGCACGATCACAATTTCTTGTCGGCTCAAGCCCCTCCGTTGGGTTCTATCAGATATTGCTCCTCGTAGACACTGCATAAGGCAATGTGACTCGCTTAGTCAGATTCTGCATAACTGACAAGTTAGTCACTTGATTCACCCTCACTTGATCATCCTCATGCAATAATCTTTTCCATCTGCGCACAGCTTAGAATCCCAATACAACATCTTAGTCGGATCAAGGTGCTCGCGTGTATGCATGCATAATGTCGGTACGTGCTATACAATCCCAACTGACTCGCCAAATGGAATGTCATGCAAATCGGCCCGAGTTAATCCATAACCGCCAGGATTACGAGGCAACCATTATTCGGCATTCCTTGTTTGCATCTCTCCCGCTGAGTCAGCCGAGCATCTGCTGCTTGCATCCATCCATGATCCGAGGGCTCCACCCACAATCCGGGATCGAGCATGTCAACTCCTTCTAGACCTCTTCACTTTGATTGTTTCTCATTTGCTCTCATGGATAACCCCATCCACGCATCCGGCAAGATCATCTTTCCACATCTTGTTTATTTAATTTTGACCCCTGAACACGGCATATCTTCGCCTCGGATGACTAATCTGCAGTTTGCTTTCTGCTTCAGCATGTGCCACGCGAAGCGATGATGTTCTTTGCTGTTGTGTCATGATCGTCAGCGTCCCGACGAAAACAAACCACTTTCATCAGCCAATACAGCCGAAACAATGAACCAGCCGATGAAGAGTTGAGGTCTGCCACAGAGGAACGGGGTCAAAGCCCTCCCAAAGCAAAGACTCTTCCCGTGACCCCGGCAGAGAGAGAGCTTCGCAGTCGATCTTCGTGTGCGTACTCGTGTCTTGCGGGGTTCGCGACACAATCATGACGTCTGCACGTTCGAGCTAGTCTAAACTAGAAACCTGACGCGGTAGGTAGAATGCTAGTAACCTACTAGCAGCTGCGTATCACGCCACAATTGTCAATCCTATCTACTCAGTGGTCGGCCTGCATCTTCGGTCAGCCGCTTCTATCATGCTCATCCCTTATCTTCTCCCATCGTTGTGTCTTTAGTTGCGGCGCGGGCAATAGCCGCTAATTATACACTGGTTCCGGACGAGCGAGTTTATCGATGCCGTGGAAGATCCATGGGCCATAGCAGCAGCCATCAAAATTCTCTAGTACTTCGAGGCCCCTCTTCAAAGTACGTCCCCTTGTCCAACCATGGCACAAGAGGTAATATGACAGGTCAAACGCGGGACTTCGCGGGACTGATGTTATGTTTGTATCAGCGTATCACCCGACTGCTTTTCTAGCTCTTTCCCAATTGTACGGGAAAAGTGTATGGCTACGATGTATCGTGTGCAACACTACAGCTCACCAAGACAGCAGTAGCAGCTGACGTCCAGCATCCAAATAAGCGGAGAGTAATCTCAGCACAAGAGACACAGGCCATCTCGGACTAAATGTGTATCATTCGCCCGAAGGCCAAATAAGCATGGGTGATACTAGGAAACGCTTTGAGGTTGCGGCTACAAATAGATTGGCGCAGCCATTCAAACTTCAAAGCTCTGGCGCGGGTTCCGCATTTGGATGGGCCCCCATCTTCTGCATGGATGTGTTCGCCGTCTTCTGTAACGAGCTGAGCTCTTAGTCTGCAGGTGCTATGGTCGGGTTTAAGTTGAGCCCAGACCACAACCTCTCCTGGTTGGGCCGTTCATTGCACATTGGACCGGCCTTGGCTCCTTCTCTATCGCGGGGCGGGCTCGGATATGCCGTGGTTCGACTGTTTCCAGTCGGGTTTTGAATGTGATGGCCGTGGGCATTGAGCCCTGGTTTCCCATGTGTTGTACGTGGTCCAGCCTGGTTGAGAAGGGGTCCATTGCGAAATGTCATACATACTGGGAAGTATGAGTATTTCAGACTCGCGGAATGGACTTTTGACTGGTTTATTGGCTATCTCAGTTCTACAGTAGGATGCTCCTGCTAGCGCACGGTCTGCCGAATCATACACAGCAGGCTTCCAGGCACCCAGACAATATCGGTATAGTCTGTGCATACAGCGCATGCGCTAGCATAGTCTGCATATAGGCAGCATTTCTCAGATTTGAGCAGCCATGACGGTTGAAATTCCCTCTCTCAAGTGAATCGGGACAAGCACAAATCGTTCAATTGAGTTTGTTGTATCCGATGTTGATATGTGCGTTGTTGTCGTAGTCGATCGAACATTACCTTGGGTTCGATCGAGCTGGCTCCCGGGGATTGCAATCAAGATTCGCAATGAAGAACATCACCTTCTAGAATCATTTGCCACCCCCGTGGTTCGAGACCGGAAGGGGAAGTCTACAACCCCGGGCATGATATGTTGGCACTTGTGGCCCACCGGCAATGATCACGATCTCAAGAACCGGAGATTAAGAATGCAAAAGAGAACCTTGGGATGAGTCTGTACGGCCGAATGCGATACAAGGACACCCTGCCAATGAGAGATGACAGTTTCCTCTTCCCGCAACCGTCTAAACATTCTGGCAATTCAACTTACAGTGCAGTGCAAGTAACGGAGAGTGAGGCAGTAGACACTAGACAGGAATCCTTCAATTGCTGACAGATGCACATTTTGGTAAGTTAGGTTAGGCATAACGATGGCCGGGAGAGGAATCTTGGCATCTCATCCGACCTTTTGTCCCTTTTTCCTAACTCTGTTGGTTTTTTGCCAAAGCAAGTTGGCCAAAAGAAGAAACTGAAACGGGGAAGGGGGAAGAAAAGAGATTTCCTTGTTCCAGTAAGATTTGATAAGTACCAGACCCACTACAATTGAGGCAGTACCATAGATAGAAACATACGCCGCTAACTTGTGGTAATCGAACAATGTGATTTGTTCTAGTTCTCGACGGCCCCCGGCTAGCAGGAGCTAGATTGCCGCTAAGGAAGATGCCTTGGTTTCCGTCGACGCTGCGGGTTCCACTCCGAGCAAGTAGACTACTGTGTACAGATACAGTATTAGACACCCTCCCCGTCTTTGCCTTCGAGGCTCGGAGACTCAGGCACTCTGGTGCATTCTACACATGCCAGATTTGGTGCAGCGCATTGCTATCGATCACCTCTCTCTCTCCTGTAAATAATGGCATCGCGGGGTTGAAAAAGGTGCGGAAGGGATGGATCGGAATTGCTAAATCTGATACATACCCATAGTACTCCGTACTCCGTAGTTAATCAAATGACTGACGGAACATTAGGGCGTGTCTACTGGATGTTACTGCATGTAATAATTTAGACTTATTGCCTTCCTTTCTTTTTGCGCCCTCTCTCACCCCTCCTCAATATTTTGAATACAATGTTGAACAAGAATAAGCCACCATCACGTTCACTATGTTATGCGCATTTGTGTTGTTTTATGGATGCAACCGGCGGACGGAGCTAACCGGTGAGCCAGTACACTTTAGAAAGTCAATCTGAGACCATAACTCTATCAATCCATACCTTCTTCCTTCACAGTTTCATGTCAATGATCAAAAGTCAGTGGCGAAATTCCCCATTGTACCGTGTGAATCAGGTGCAACATGCAGCATTGCTGGCCACGGAGACAGCCGTTCAATTGCATCCCCAAATTGTTCTGCAAACAGGAAAGGTCCTAACGGATCCGGGCTCGGTATGGGACTTTTTGTCGATCCCTACTGCGGGTAGATTCTGTGGCATGCCGGCCTTCGACAAACACCGCCGCCCCCTTCCCGGTTGTTCCAGCGGCGAAATTCCCCTGAGAGATTATGAGGTAAATACTCATTAGAAAAAAACACAAATAGTAACTACGGAGTAGTATCGCCGGAGTGATGGGCTTGGATGATATGATATTGCTGGAGAAATGGATTCTTTGGGAGATGAGCTGCAAGCTGAGAGATGAGGGTCGAAATTGGCTTTTCACACACACACTCTCTCTCGCTCTTTCTTTCTGTCTATCTATCTACCCTGGAGATGAGTATCGAAGCCTCTCGTCGAGAGATTTAAGCATGGAGGGTCCGTTTCGTATCACTTTCGAGTTGAGCTTGGATAATCGGCAGCACCCAGGGTCTGGTCTGGAAGCACCGTCACCTATTTTAGGATGGTTGACGATCTTCAATGAAGGTTGCTTGCTTGAGCATTGACTGGTCTTGGGTGGTCACACCTGATTGCCTAGACCTTTAGCTTCCCTCAGCTACGGACATCTAGTAGTCACAGTTCGGTTTAGGGGTCTTTTTGGGAAGTGTAGTTGGGTGCTTTTATGCATGCATTGTGCTAGCTGAACTCCCCACCTTCCCAACCATCCATCTCTCAAAGAAAGGCTGGGAAGTTGACGGGGGAAAGAAGATCGAGGATCCAGCTGGGTATATATTGATCCTCAATCCTCCCTGTTTTACCTTGGTTTCTAGCTTGTTACCAGAACCAGGTTAGTGGCGCAAAGCGCCTGAAATAAAATTCGGAACCGCCCACTTCCTGCGACCGCAACGGAGGCATACCCGCGTTCCCATTCGTAGTTTGCGTAGTTCTGGTGCAATGGCGCACTTTGGCTGTTCCAAGTCCATCGTTGGAGGGGCCCGCAGCCGAAGCCAGCCTAGCCAGTGTCTTGACACTCTACCGAAGAGCCTAGTCATAAACTGGCCAATCTCCTTGTCGCCGATTGCAGCGGGCGAATCCCGGGCCTGCCCTCGACCACCACCGGCGATGTGGGTTCCAGGCAGGGTGGATTATGAATGACGGGGGGATGTGCTGTGCTGCTGCTGCACTGGTTTCGATGACCGCTTGGTCGCATCATGGTTGACCCCAAACCCACCCTTGAGGTCCCAAGGTGGATGTGGGTAGTCGTGTCTCATCAAAATAAAATTGTTAAATCACTTAGACATTTCTATGTACGATACTATTTCCCTTCACAACCAAACAATGGCATAATCAGGATATTTCGACGGGCAGTGCGTTTGAATTGAACCCCGTTGTTTCCCCCTCCCATCCACCCCCCTTTGCCCGCGTTCCTCAACCCCCCCCCTTCCCGTCGTCATCGTCCTCGTCGTCGCTGTCGTCGGCGGCGCGCGGTCATACGTGGATCTGCCCGTAACCTAGTGCTGGTGGACACTAATTGCTGTTGGTGAAGGATAATTCCATGGATTGAAGGCCTGGTGGGGGACTTGACTCGTCCCTGGTGAACATTCAGGGGTAAAAATGAATGATATCGAGATGGAGAGAAATGGATTGATGACTGCGCTTATCAGAGATATCATGGGGGCTGGCCTGCTTTCGTCGGGGGGAGGAACTAATAAGTATCGCCTTCCGACTACTACTCTTAGCACCCTAGTTTATCGAGTGGTTTTATTGCCGGTAATTGCATATCCCAAGTACCAAACCTAGCCAAATACAACCGAATAATAAACATGTCCAACTATTTAGCAGTAGGATACCAAGCCAGAGACCGCAAGAGGAACTGAAGAAGCGAACCGAGCATGAAAAACCGGTTTGTTGATTGGGGACGATAGGACGGAAGTAAGTAGCGTGGACAGTACTCTGAACGGGTTAGTTCGCACAGCAAGTCTGGATGAAGACTACTACTCATAAGTTATCAGCATCTCCGGTGTGAATGTTCTCAGTGGCCTCAGCCTCAATATAATGGGTTTCTGTTGAACTGCTATACGTGTGGGTATACAGTCAATGATTAACAATGAATGGACACTCAGTCCCCTTAACCTGCCCGAGCAATTCGAACAGTCACTGTTCATTGAATGTTGTGGTGATTGATATACGGCAGATCATGGCTTGTTTACTCCATGCCTGCAGGTAACTATCATAGCAGGCGTAGCATATGAGCATAGTTAGTGTCAGTAACTCAGCAACAAAGGCAGTGCTCCGGAGTTCACTATGTATTCTTAGCATGCGGCCAATTTCAGCCCATCAGTACGTATTATTGTCTGGTCTCATCACGCCTTGTCATCCTTTCCCATCCCCGGAGGCAGACATTCCTTCTTACTCAGTCGCACACACCTGGTAACTACACCCACCCTTCTCTCGCCATTTGGTTGTCGCTTGCAGCTCTTTTGTTTCCGTTTCCCTCCTTTCCCCTCCTTACTCTTTCCGTCGGCAGTCAATCTTTTCTTTCTTTCCAGCCTCCGTTTCCGGATTGAGCCCTGGCGGGGGATCCACGACGACCGTTAGAGGTTTATGGGTGAACAAGCAAACCAGGTAAGAGAAGAAAAAAAAAAGTAAACCAAAAAAAGTTTAAAAATATTATTATTATTACAGTGGAGGGGAAAAAAAAGATACGTACGGCTCCATCAGCTCTCCCATTCGGGCTGCCCATCCGCACAAAGCTGACTGAACTGAACTGCTGAATTGCCGGTTCATCTTTGCTGGTGGTGCTGGTTGCCGATGCTGGTGCTTTGCTGGTGGTGCTGGTCCTGGTGCTCCTGCTGCTGCTACTACTACTGCGAACATAGCCAAACCATCCAATCCGCACCTTATCCCCATCCCCAATAATTCCTATTCCCATCCCGAATCTCTTCTTGTCTCCTTCAACATCTCCGATTGCTGCTATCTTCTTCCCCTTTCACTAACTATCCTTCCTTCTTTCTCCTCACCCACCCCTCCCTCTCACTCTCTCCTCCCTCACCCCTCTCTTTCTTTCTCGCTCTCTCTCTCTCTCTCGTTCCTCCAAACTTGTTTTTTTACTCTCCCTCACGCTCCCTCCCTCCCTCCCTCTCCCTCGCTACGACCACCACCACCTCCTTTCGTTTGTCCTGGTTGAAATTCCTTTACTTTTTCTGTTTTAATTATCGCGAAATTCTCTTTCTGTGATTCCCCTTACTTTCACTATCTTACACTTGGCGCCTATCGCGTGTGTCCAGCATTCGAATCGAATCGATAATCCTAGTTTCGGCGATCGCACTGCGTTCCTTCGTTCGGTGGCAGCCTACGTCAATTGCGCATCCCAGCCGTGATCTCTGGCGACTCTGGTCCGGCTCGCAGTTAGGCGATAACCCAACGAATCCTTCTTTCCACCATATCGGCTGGTGGGAACGCTTCTTTCCAATTTTGATCGATCACCATGGCTCCTCCACCGCGCCTGCGCGTTCTGTCAGGTTAGTTCTCAGTCTTCGCCGGTATCAGATTCGGCCAGGACGGACGGACAGGCTCCCTCCGTCTTGTGCTCCGGATCAGCCTCACGCTGCCACCCCCTTCAATGATTTCCCTTCTCCAACTACTTCGATCGCCAATTCAATATGGGTCGTCGTCTAACACGGGTCTGTTTAGTTGGCAGCAACGCTATCTCAGCTTTTCTTTCCTGGAGGCTCCAGGCGTCCACCTCCTGCGACGTAACGCTAGTCTGGAAATCGGGGTTTGAGGCGGTTTCGCAATACGGAGTGTCTTTCAAGTTTGTCTCTCTGGCTACTACACAACGCAGGAGGCCTTCTAACAATTGACCAACAGGTCGAAAGCATTTGGCAATGAAAGATTCAAACCTCGTCACGGTATGTTATTTTTTTTTTTTTTTGGGTTGGATTACCGCAAGCGGTGGTGCTGGTCAGCTGACATCGGTCATTCTACAGTGGTACGTTCACCGGAAGAGGCGGCATCACGAGAGAATGCATATGACTATGTTATTCTTTGCGTGAAGGCCTTGCCCGATGTCTACGACCTGGCAGCGGTCATTGAATCCGTGGTTACCCCTCAACATACCTGCATTCTGCTCAACACGACCAACACCCTTGGCGTCGAATCCCACCTCGAACAACGATTCCCCACGAATGTTGTCCTCTCACTCGTTTCTGGCGTGGAGATCTCACAGATTGGACCCAGCGAGTTTGAGCATTTGAACTCGTCGAATATCTGGGTCGGTGCTACCAACAACAATTCGACCCTTCCATCGGCTATGCAAACCGACATGGCGGCCGCATTGGCGATGACCTTGAGCTCCGGTCAAGTCGACTGCAAAGTGTCGAACAACATTAGACAAGAGCAATTCGAGCGTATAATAGGGTGAATATCCCCGAGCCATCCTTTCCTCGAGATCATAACACTAATCAGTCACCATCCAGGCCTATTGCATTTTACCCAACAAGCGTCATGTTTGACAACGGCAACGTAACAGAACTCCTGCAGAAGGTCGGAGTACGGCAACTGGTCACCGATGTGATTGACGAGCTCATTGATTTGGCCAAAGCACACGGCTGTTCTTTCCCAAGCGATTTTCCTCAGAAGACAATGGATGCGATGGCCGCGTCTCAGTCTCCCAACACTATGTATCAGGATTTCCAGGCTCGTCGTCCTATGGAGATCGAGACGTACCTTGGATCCCCAATCAAGCTGGCAACAGAACTCAATATCCGCCTTCCCCGCATCGAAACCATCTATGCTATCTTGCACCACATTAATACCACCAATCTAAGCAAACCCCGCGAATCGCCCACTCCGTCTGTACAAGCTCCGCCTCCCCAACCCACCCGGATGTCCTCAGCTCCTCCACCCAGGAATGGTCCTCCCATGCGCCCGCCTCCTGGCAGGTCAAGCTCTGCAATGATGATGCCACCTCCTAGACGCGGACCGCCCATGCCCGGAATGTCACGACCCCCCAGCACACAGCCTCCGCCCGCTTCTGCCAGAATGCCTCCTCGTGAGCCGTCTCTGGAGGGACTGGAGGAATTTAGCCACCTGGTTGTCTACGATGACGCTGGTGAAGCTGGGCCTCCTCCCAGGAACCCTAACGGTTATCCCGACGGCCCTCCTGGTCCTGTCCACTCGCAGTCGACTGCTGACCTGTCCTTGAGAGAACGCGAGTTGGCTTTGCGGCAGCGCGAGTTGCAGCTTCGGGAACATGAAATGAGCATGAGGCGGGGACCGCCCCGCAGGAATGCCCCCTCTAGGGCCACTTTCGATGAGGAAGACGAGGATGATTATTTCGATCCCATGGATACCAGCCTGGTCCCAAACATCGACCCAGACAATGTGGATATGCTGAGCATCACGTCACGAAGAGCCAAGAAATTCCCGAGTGCCAGCCAAATACGCAAGAACCCTGAGCTTCTGTCCAATGGCGGCGGCGGCGGCGGCGGTCGGTCGGGTACATTCAGCCGCTACTTTGGGGGAGGAAGAAAACGTGCCAGTGACCGCATCATGCAGGAAATCCCGGGACTCCATGATTCCCTCATGGATAACCCCATGATGGCTTACTCGTCAAACCGGTACGGCGCTGTTGATAGAAACCAGATGGCTGCAGGTTCACGTACCAATTCCATGACCACGAGTCGCATGGGCGACTATCCCCCGCACCCCTACCCACACAGTAGGAGAAACAGCCATTCGCCGGCGACTCCTTACGGTGGCCCGCCTGGTCCTCGCATGGGCCGTCCGGCCACTGCTCAGGATCAGCACTTCGGCCCTCCTCATGGGCCCCCGAACGGCGGTCATCCGTCTCCTCCGGGACACATGCGTGCACCTGTTCCCAGGTATCCCCCAGGACATGGTAATGCGGTAGGCCCGCAACAAGTTGAGCAACAAATTGGGGTGAGCAATTCGTATCCCACCAAGGGCACCCCAAAGGAAAGAAGTCTGACTGGAAGTGCGAGCGCCAGCGCGGGGAGCGGTGATAGTGGCGCCAGTGCGAACCTCGATTCCGAGAATTCAGCCCACAGCAGCCAGATCAGCCTCGGCGCGCAGCAAGCTGCGGCGCCTGTCCGTTGAAAGCCAAGAAACCGTTTCCCCTCCACCCTTCCCCTCGCCCGCAGCTGAGCACGTTGAGCCCCTTTGACCGTGCGCATGCTTGCCGGGTCCACTATACTTCCTCTTTATCCGCCTGTATTGGATTGCCGTGAAGGGGAATCCACCCAGGTTGCTTTCTGCCTCTTATAAAGGATATACTTTTGATGAGAAGCTCGGCACCAAAAATAAGAGGATTGAACCGCATCCTGTGTCATCCTCCGGTTTTGTTCAATTGTTCACATATATGCAACGGACTTAAGGATCTTCCTGAATTTCTCATTTGGTTGAGCGGGCGCTGTTGCGCACGTGTTGCTCGTGGGGGTGACTCTATCCCTCTTACCCACATTTCTTGCCTTAACCACCCCTGCAGCAATTCCTGATTCCCATGCTAACGGGCCTCCGCTCGAGCGATAAATACGTTTTTCTTTTCTTTACTTTTCGCAGCTATACCACGGACGTTCATTCTCCAGTACTGATCATACATTCTGCTTCTGCATGACAAATTGTTGTACACTATCCGAGTCGGCGCATGATTTTGTCGAGTTCATACATGTGGTTCCGTCGTCTTGATTTGTTATCTCTGCCTGATTCTTTTCCTTATCTCATCCAAGTCAATCTGACATGCATGCCCTCCTTTGCATTTCCTAAATCATTGTCTTTTTAATGTTCCTATGCAGCCCTGCCGTTTTCTTTCATCGTGGTCTGGTTTCTGGCGCATAAAAAGAGCAGGGGGTCCATTATTTATTCGGGTGATTGTTGTGTTTGATTTGGCTGGGTTCATGTTCATGCAGAGTAATAGTGAAAGCCACCAGGTCGTCAGATGGCACGGCAACTGTTCATTTGATTAGAAAGAACCATGTCCTCAACAATAAACGAACTTCGATCGGAAAGTGATGTTGTGATGGTAGCCGGTATAAGGTGTCCAGGCTTTCGGGAGACATGATCTCCGCGGCGACGCTTGCACGTGACCCCAACCGTAGATGTCAACAGACGGAGAGCCAGACGGAGAGCCCTTCCCGACCACAATCACCACCATCACAACCACAACCACACCACAGACCCGATCTCCTCTCCAGGTACCCCTTTGCCGCTACACGAGTTTCAGTTTCTATCGCGAGAACCGTCGATACCATGCCTCCTTCCCACCAATACACCCAAAGCCACTCCCACAGCCACTCCCACCACATGCCCCGCCACTCCATCCTCCCCTCCGCGGCTCCTTCTATGGGCTACGGCGGCGGCGGTCTAAGTGGTACCGGCAGCAGCACCACCAGCATGTCCATGGCCAAAACCCGGCAGTACGCCAACCTGCACGCGCAGCTAGCGCAGCTGAACAGCCACCTCCGCGACACGGAGAACCTGGTGCGCATGACGGCCGTCCAGGCGGAGGATATGCGTTTTTTGGGGGGATATGTCGGGGCCCTGTTTATGGGGTCGGCCAAGGTGTTGGGAGAGGAGGGTATTATCAAGACTGAGGGTGGTGGTTCTGGTTCTGGTTCTGGTTCTGGTTCTGGTTCTGCTGCTGCAGGAGCTGGAGCAGGAGCTGGAGCTGGAGCTGGGACGGGGGCTGGGAATGGGGTGGAGAGTGAGAGTGAATGAGGATCTTAGGCCTTTGATCTCTTGAGAGGGGGAGGGAAGGTTCGAATGGATATCGGGTACTCTGTACAACCACAAGGGAAGAGTATGCTATGGTTTATTCTTTGGGGGCATATCAGTGTGGGTTTTTTCTTGGGAACTATGGATCCGTCTATTGGATGTGTTGTGTTGCTAACTGCTATTTATGGTGAAGGCTGATTCTATCGCTCTCTTTCATGGGATGCTTGATCCATCCCCGTTACCACCATTACCACCTACCCATCGCCACTGCCAGTCCAGCGTTATTCGGCTTTATACAGCGGCATATACGATACTTCCTACCGTGCCTGGTTCGAAACAGGCACCGAGAGCGAGGATGGGATCAGGCGTCAACCACGAACCCTCCACCGAGGATGATCGCGGGCTCGTCGATGCTGTGGTGCTCGTAACTGTTGTCGTAGGTGGGAGAGTTAGCACTTGGGTTGCAGACACACATACACACAAAGAGGGAAAGAAAGCAGGGGCAGCCGGGCAAGAAACTCACCTCAACGTGCCCACACCACCAGCCTCCAAAATCAACGCCGTCTCCGTCAACGGCTTGCCCGTCCACCGCATCGCAAACGCCCGCAGGATATGTCCGTGCGCCACGATCAGGACATCCCCCTTGGCGGACTCGGACTCGAAACACGGGCCGTGGTATTTGGCGCGGATCTCGGCGATGAGGGCGTCGAGCCGCTGGATCACGTCTTCGGGGGATCTGGGTTCGTTGCCTCGGTATTAGCAGACACAAACACACAATAACCCCGTCAGAACTCAGTTAGACCGGAACATGGCCAGCCAAACAGAACCATTCCATTCCACAGTATGAGTTTTCCCAACTTGAATAATCTTGTGCTTGAAAGAGAAGAGAAGGGGGTAAAGGAAAGAACATACTCTCCCCCCGGACACCCATCCCGCCAAATATCCCAGCTCCCTTCCCCGTTCCGCGCCCGCAACTCCCGGATCTGCCGGCTCGTCAACCCCTCGTAGTCGCCGTAATCCCACTCGCGCACCGCCTCGGTCACCTCCACCCGGGCCTCCGTGCGGATCGGCTCCTCCGCCTCGGGCTTGCGCGCCTCGGTCCAGGGCAGTCGCTCCTTGCACCCGATCTCGAGGAGCTCGAGCGTCCGTTGCGCGCGCGCCCGCGGCGAGACATACCTATTTACCGCCCGGTGGGTTAGTTTTGTACTGACCCCGTTTGCGCATGCCTATGCTGTACGTCTTGCTGCGTAACGCCTAGCATGGAGGAATTTGAGCCCGGATGCCCCGGAGACAAGAACACAGCACAGCACAGCACAGCTACACTCGAGGGTGCATTGTACACACACTGTAGAGTGTAGGGTATGTACGGGCAAGGGTACGGGCAAGGGAAACATACACGTGAACGACCTTCCGCGGCGCGATCAATCGATCATTCCCCACCAGGGCCTTGCCGGTGGCTTTGATGCGCTTCTCTCCGTTCTCGGTGAGGGGCAGGTCGGTGGTGCCCGTGTGGCGGCCGTTGAGGGACCATTCGGTCTCGCCGTGGCGGATGATGAAGCACCGGGGGCTCATGGTATGAATCCAGGGAGGTTTTGCGTGAGAGAGACAAAGAAGATGTGGAGGAATGGGCAAGTCAAAGTTAAGAACAAGGGAAGGCACGGAATATAATCAATTGCTTTTTAATCTCGTTCTCGTGTTCTTGGATTCAAGTGGGGAGCAGGAGGGGCCGGTTTCTCGTGTTGCGTCATTATTTCCATGAATCACAGGGGCGGGCTTATCGATAGCTACACCGTACTGTACTCACTTAGGGTGGTGGTTGTTGATTTGATTGGGGGAGGCGCAGAAAGTGCCCCCGTATATTTAGCTTACATCGCTGGATGAGATTCTTCTTGCTTATCAGAAACATTGTTGCATCGATGTCACGTTCTTAAACAATAGACACGCGCCAATCTACTGATCTACGCGTGAAACTTCCCACTCAAACATACATTGATAATACAGCTGTCATGCTAGAAGGCACTGGTATCCGGTAGTTGCTTGCTTATGACTCAGTATGCTTTTCTGCCTAGATGTCTCTGGTGTTTCCCGGCATAATCCAACCAGTGCCTCGCCGAAGAGCAAGGAAAATGTAACCGAACCATCACGCCAAAAGGAAATAATGAAAACTAACGACGAGATATAAAGGAAATGGCTTGATCGTATTCAATAGCCCGTGGCTTAAACTACCACTCATCTAAGCCATGTAGGTGCTGGAGTCAACGCCACCCTCGGGATATTCGCTAAGTCATTGTCAGTGTTTGTTGCAAGAATTGGTGTGATGTGTACTTACGGAAGAGCAACTTCGAAGCGCTTCTCAATGTCCTTGAGAACCTTCTCGTCGTCCTCGGTGCTGACAAAGGAGATGGACAGACCCTTGGTACCGAAACGGCCAGCACGACCGACACGGTGGAGGTAGGAGTCGGCATCTCCAGGCAAATCGTAGTTGATAGCGAGGTTGATACGCTCAATATCGATACCACGACCGAAAACGTCAGTCGCGACACAAATACGTTTGTTGAACTCCTTGAACTCTTTGTAGCGTTTGATACTATAGGACATTAGTGGACTTTCTCGATATTTTCTGCTGAGGCGGACTTACCGCTCCTCCTGGCTCACTCCGGAGTGAACTGCGATACTGGGGAAGTTGCACTCGCGCAACAACTTGTCGAGCTCTTGAGCACGGAGTGTGCTCTTGACGAAGATGATAACCTGGTTGAACTCCAAGCTATCCAGAAGGTCGTTCAGCTTACGGTTCTTCTCCGCCTCGCTGAGCTTGATGTAGTATTGCTGAAGACCGTGAAGGGTGAGCTTAGTGTCATCGTCGACGTAGACTTCGAGAGGGTTGCGCATGAACTTCTTGCAGACGGGCCGAATCTCCTGAGAGAGGGTGGCACTGAACATCATAACCTGCTTATCGGCGGGGGTAGCACGGAATATCTCCTGGACATCACGGCGCATGTCTATGACGTATTATTAGCACGTATACGAATCACAGGATGAAACAGAACTCACCAATCTGGTCAAGCATCTTGTCACACTCGTCAAGAACGAAAGCCTTGACATTGCGCAGAGACAGCTTCTTGTCGCGGACCAAAGCGTTCAAACGACCGGGAGTACCGACAACAATGTTGGGGTAAGACTCTTTGTTCGCCAAGACCTCCAGGTCCTTCTGGATGGGAGTACCACCGTAGAAGACGGCGGTGCGGACGTCGGGAAGGTACTTGCTGAAACGAGCATATTCGTTCTTGATCTGGTAGGCCAACTCACGAGTGTGGCACATAACGAGAATCGAGCACTCTCCCGGAACAGGCTCCAGTTGGTGCAATGTGGTGAGGACGAAGACTGCAGTCTTACCGAGACCAGACTTGGCCTGGCAAAGAACATCGACGTTCAAAATGGCGGTGGGAATGCAAACTTGCTGGACTGTGGTAGGCGAGACCGTATGTTAGACTTGTACTCGATGTATGAGACTTGAAATGAAAGTAAAGCAATCCGTGTCGCAAGTCCGTCCATCCCCCAGGTATCGAAATAAAGGATGATACGTCAATTTGACAAATCCAGCGCAAACCACAACAAGGAAGAGTCGCAGGGGGCAATGGATCGATAAATCCAATCACCAGCGATACAGACTCCAACTCCAAGAGCTCTCTGCAGGCGGCAAGAGGACGAGTATCATGTGAAAAGTGAAGAAGCGGTGCGGCTCCTTTCAACACATCCACTCGAATAACAATATCAAGTGGTCACAGGCGAGATAAGGTCCCGAAGATCTTGCTGAACACGGTCTTGCCGTAATTTGCCAAAGCAAAGGAGAGCAACAAGCGGAAGCCTGGATTGCTCCCTACTCTTGCAAGCAGGGTTGGCTCGTCTTTTTGATGACCCGAAACACGCATCATCCTCATGCCGCCCACAGGCTCGAACGAAATATATATGCCCGGAAGCGACTATGGAACTCTTTCTCCTTCCCGCGGAGATGGACGGACGGACGTTGAAACTTGGAGCAATGGAGGGAGGTTTTGGTTTTTTTTTTTTTTTTTTTTTGGGAAAGAATACGTATGATGGACTAACCCTCCGATGGATGTTCGAAACCGCAGTCGGTGATGGCACGCAGAAGTTCTTCCTTCAGCAGGAAGTCACGGAAACCGGTCGAGTGGATACCGACATAGCTGCCCTTCTTATCGGAGCGGCCGCCAGAAACAGTCAAGTCGCCCTTCTTGTCCTCTCCATTGGCGGCGGGAGCAGCGGTGGTCGCGGCCGCGTCGGTGGTGGGAAGCTCCTCGTCGGAGTAGTCGATGAGATCCTCCTCGTGAGACATGTTGATGGTTTGTGGTGAGATAAAAGGTGGTCTAGATGGGAAAACTCTGTCTGTTGAAGCGCGTCGCTTTTACCAAGGCAGAGAAGCCTAGGTCCGAAGTGGTCGAAAAGCGGGTTGAAACCGGTTGAAGTAGGTAGATCTATGTTCTGAGTAGTACGTGAGAAGCCCTCGCTGATGCTGTGAGATAGATTGAGGGTGATGGCAGGTTGTTGGCGCGAAGGAAGGCGATGGAGATGGTGAGAGAGAAGGACATTCGCCGCGCGAAGGGATGGAGCGGCTGAGCCCAGACAGCTCGATCACGTGGCAAAGTCAATTAGTCATGGTTGGTTCGGGCCCCCGGCGACCGCTTTCGGTTAGCTTCTGACATAAAGGTAGTGAAGGAAAGCTTCCTCATCCATTGTGATTCTCTCCACATCCTCCAGTACGACTGTTACAACACAACCATTGAAAAGGACTGGCCCCTGGCCAATCATCGCAATGGTCAAAGGAAAGTCCAAAGGCAAGAAAGATTCTGCAGGAGGTGTCAACAGCCACATACGCGCGCGCATTGACTATCTATACAAAGCGGCTACTTTCCTGCAAGCCCAATCCAGCGCTCATCATGTTGGCGACTCCACAAATGAAACAGGAGACCAGAAGCCAAGTGTCTTAACACGTATAGTGCCACTCGTTTCTCCCTCTGCTGGTTCTGGTTCTGTGGGCGAAACCACGGCCCTGGATGGGCAGAACGCGGCAACGAGCCAGCTACCTCAGCTTTCTCGGAATTACTTGTCACAAATGCGCGGCGTATCTCTGAAAACGCAACTTCGCCTACCGGTTGACATGAAGAGATCTTTCTGCAAGCGATGTGATACGCTTCTACTTCCTGGAGTAACTTGTACGCGCGAAATGAGGAATCCCAGCCGCGGCCGCAGAAAGCCATGGGCTGAACTCTTGGTCATTCGTTGCTCTACTTGCGGGACAGAGAAGCGTTTCCCCCAAACAGAGAAGCGCAGCAAGAAGCTGACTGATCGTCGGCAAGAACAAGGCCAAGAGAAGCAAGACAATCAGAACAGTGCAGGCTCTTGAATACATTACCCACGCTGCAAAGATTTTCATAGGAGCCTTTGTCTCGTATTGCCTCCAATCAGCATATGGTTGTTGAAACATCTTGCGGGATAGCCCTTCTAAAGCGACGGCAGAACGTTATCTGTCTCTGAGCCAAGCCCAATTCTTGGGAATTTGTTGGCGAAAGAGCCGTGAGGCTCTGCACGTGTGCCGTCATGCCGACTATATTGGCACAACTGGCATACACTGAGTTATCCATATTGAGCTTAGTTTCTTTGCTTGGCTCTAACAGAAGTGCTCCGGCTAAGAACACGTGAAGGGATTTGCAAATAACACCATCACCTGCAATCGTCCCTCACAGCACCTTATTTCGGGTTTTGCAATCACTGTTGATTATCTGCCAGGTCCGTTATGACCGAGGTATCAAACTTACATGTGCCTGTATATCACGGGATGACTGAAATGCACGGGGACCAGTGGAAAGATTCATTGATGTAGAGTTCCATTGCAATGGTTCCAGAGCTAAAAGTGAAGACGATATAAAAATCAAAAGATGTCATGTCAAACAATTATGAATGCATACCGGGGAATCGCATCATGATTGAACAGATAGCCGGGTCATCAGATTCGTGGATTGGAAGGCGTGAATCATAAATCAGGAGACAAGCTACAGTGGTAGCCAAGTAAAAAAAGTAGAGTCCAAATACTAATAACGCCATGCTTGTTCCTGTCAAGCCTCGATCGAATTTCGGGTTCAAAATCGCCGCGCGGCGAACATCCAAATCTCTAGTCAATAGTCCTCTCCGAGTACGTAACCAAAAGAGAAACAAATTCCTCCCATAGGCTCATGGTTCAACCATGATTGGAATCAAAGTAAGCATATAGAACGCTGTGCTAATCGTGCAGAGTTGTAAAGTCATGTCATTGGGTCCGTGAGGACAATATCGGTTTATGATTTGCAGTTTTTTGTGGCGTTACTCGAAGGTGGGCAGTAAGGAGTTTAGATGCCACTGTCGCCGGGCTTTCATCTCAGCTTCTTCATGTTTGAGAGGCTTCTTGGCAAGATTACCCAGGATGTTTGCGGCAACTGAAGGATTTATCCCGTGAATATTGAAGCGCAAAGGATTGGAGGAGTGAGCATGGTGAAAGAAGTGGAAAAAAGACTGTCCCGCGGCCGTAATATGGAACGGAAATAGAGTTGATGAAGGGAATGATGACAAATGGGCGCCATAGGCGAAACGCGGTGATGAGTAGACCAGGTTGTAGAAGAAGACGGTACTAATTGAAGCGAATAGGGTAGGTTGGCGTGTCTCAATGTCTCCGACGGGCAGCTTGGTCCAGGCGTTGGTCAAGACCTTCTATGCGGCCACGGTATGCTTTCACAATTTCTCTTATGTGACCGATCTTGGCAAGCTCGGTATCCAGCTCATCTATGGAGGCTAGAATGGAACGTGTGCGGGCGATTTCAGCATCGGCATTGCGTACAACATTTCCAGCACGATCGTAGCTGTTTTGAATCGATAGTTGCATTTGTTCCTCGAGCTATTGCGAATTAGCATCCAGATTTTTAGAGAGCCGATAGGATATGTGCGCGCATGTGTAGTACGTAACGTCTTCCACCATCTGCACCTTGTATTCAGGCGGCAAGGAAGCAAGTGCAGTTTGGTCACGCAATGTGAAGGGGAGATGCTCAAACATGCATGATTGCACAGTGTAGGGACTATCAAACATACATAGTCAATGCGACTCCGAATTTGTTGCTGTAAGGCATCCAACTGCTGCGAAAGCGCTCGTAAACTCAGAGGGTCCAGAAGCAAACGACCCTGACTGCTGGCGGCGCTGGCGGCGCGCGAACTGGAATTGCTGGTGCGTCCGGTCCCCCTGCCTCTGGACACACCATTGGCGCCATGGCTGCCCTGAAGTGCAATTTGTTGTTGCTGTCTTAGGATCTGGATCTCGGAGGATGTAAGGCCAAGCGAAGTGTCGGGAATCGATGCTGATACGGACATTTGGTCCCGGCAGAGACATGCTCCTACCGCGACAATGTTTAGGAAGCGCCAGTTGATCTCGTAATGTGAATGTAGAACGGACCGCAGTTCATGATGAGAACCGGAGTAGGTAAGGGAAAAGACCGCGAAGGAGCGTAGTGGCTGAAGCTTAGGGGACGGTGCGGCTGCGAAACGAGGTAGTGGGTAGGCGAGGGAAATCACCTGCTGGGTAGAGGGAATTTGGCCGAGAGCAAGTCAATGGTGGTGAAGTATGCCTCTGCCCCAGGGCGGCCTAATTGCTTCTTGAGCGTCCTACGGTGTCATTGGAGGCCACCGAAGGAAGCTGGGTAGGGAAAGAGACCAGCCTACTGATTTGTAGGCGGCAAAGAAAAAGGAACGAAGAATAGCGGCCGTCGTGAGTCGGTCGGGGGGTTACACTGGGAGGCGGCGAACTGGGTCTGATCTCCACGAAGACAAGGCTAACGCAAGGTCCTTCAAGGACACTGGAATTAGCTCTAAGTGACAGAGACAGGAAGGGCGACAGAAAAGAAGAGGATGATGAAGAGTGTCGGTGATGGAGGTGGTCGCCGGAGTGCAGGCAGAGTAAGGAGGGGGAGAGGGGAGAGCGCGACAGAACGGATGGCAGCGACCGACGTGAACGCTAAATGTTACAATAAATGCATATAAGAAAGGAGACAAGGCCAGGCTTGCATGCTTCGGCAAGATCGATCGAATGGCTATCTCTGCCTTCATTCAGGCTCCGTTCTTCAGGAGAGGACCGTGTGATCAAGGCTGAAAACAGGATGCGATCCGGCCGCCGGTGGTATAACCGTCTAGGAGTATAGAAACGGACAGCTGCTTGTTAGCAGACTTGGGGAGCACGAGTAGAGAAGGTTCTGGGACGACACAATGATTCACAACAGCAAGAGTCTTCTTCGTTAGGAGACAGCAGTTTTGAGCCTTGCCGCAGTCGCCCTCTCTTGGTAGCAACTGAAGTAGTGAAGCCAAACTTGGAATGCGATTGCGAGAGCTCATTGCGAGAATGAGAGATGAATTCCCAATTGGGCAACCGTCATGTCGCCCGCCCGCAATTCCCATCGGTTCGTTCGTTCAACCTTGAAAGCTCCTCTACTTACTCACGTTCTACTTCTCCAGCTTCTTACTTCTCCAACCCTCTTTCTCTGTCTCCTTCTTCTGCATGCAATTGAGATTCCATTTAATTCCCTCCTACCCCAATCTCTAGTCGCCCCGAATCTTTTCACCTGATCTGCCGTTCCACCCCAGTTAGCAACCAAACCTCATTCTATTCCCTCTCTCACCAACCAAGGCGCCCAGATTGCCGCACCCTGCGCTTCTCCAGCTGCCATCAACCTCACTACCTTGCGACCTTCCTTCAAATCAAACCGGCCATTCTCAACCCACTCGCTTAATCAATCTAGATCCAACAGCCATCAGCACGCTGCCCAACCTGTGAGGCTAGAACGGTGCGCCCGCGCGACGTTCATTGGTCTTAGCCAAGATTCCGCAGCTACACCTTCGGCTTCGCGAATCCGCTACTCCCCGTAGTTAGGCTTGCTCATGCAGCTTTTTTTTGTCGTCAGCCTGTGAGCAATCTCCAACCCCCCCCCCTTCCCCCCCCTCTCTCTTTCCTATGCCACATTAGGCTGCTGCAGGAAGCTCTTGCTCCTTTCCCTTCTGGCCATGCACATTCCGGAGTTCGTCATACATACACATATGCATACGTCCTCTCATGCCCTCTTCGGCCCAGCCCGCGTCTTTCTCCCCTTTACAGTCAGCACAGGATAATCGGCGATATGTTTGGCTAATTGATATTGTATCCTGCTCAATAGAATAAGCGAATCCGAGTACATACCCCGCGTCTAGCCAGCTGCACACAGACTCAACCTCCGACTCGAGACCTGCATAGTATCAGCGGAACTAGGCCCATCCTCGCAGATCAAATAAGCAGAAAAAAATTGCACCATGCCGAAAGATAAAGAGCGCACCATGAACCCTGCCGCGGCGCAGCGGAAACTAGATAAGCAGAAGAGCCTCAAGAAGGGCAAGGCCGAAGCGTTGGCCCGCCGGAATGAGAAACTAGCCCGTCGCAACCCGGAGCGCATCCAGCGTCAGATTGATGAGATCAAGTCGATAGAGGCAGCGGGACAAAAGCTACGGCCACGTGATCAACAGTTGCTCGAAGCCCTCCAACGAGATCACCGCGCGGTGCTCAAGGCGCGAGAAGCCCTGGGAGATAAGGCTCCCCAGTTCGCGAGCTTCGGGTCTAGAAGCGGCGGAGATCGCGACGGTGACGATGGAGGCGTTTTAGGAAAGCGCAGGAGGGATGGTGGTGGTGGCGGCGGCGGGGGGCGCTTCGGACGGCATGATCGGGACAGTGAGAGTAGCGACGAGACAGATGAGGAGGTGCGGAGGATCCCCATGCCTCGGGATACACCCCCGCCGATTCCGCGCCAGTTCCAGAGGAGACCAGGCGGCGACCAGGCTGAGGGTACACGAGGACCACATGCTCTTCCTGCAAGACCTCCCGTTGTCGAAGCTAAGGCGGTATATGAGGCTAAGCCACAGATCCGAGACCTGCGACAGGAGGCCATCAACAAATTCATCCCCGCTGCCGTCAGAGCCAAGCAGGATTCTATACGAGGGCAGGGTAAGCTCTTGGAGCCTGAAGAGATGGACCGGCTCGAGCAAGCAGGTTACAAGGCGGAGATGGGCCAAGCTGGGGTAGCAGAGGCAGCAGGGGCCGTAGGTCAACCAGAAATGACAGACGACGACGCCCAGAGGCGAATGTTAGAAGAGGAGGAAAGGAGGTTCAACCAGGAGCTTCGATCAGTTCAAATCGAAGAAGGTGAAGATGAGGAGGCATAGATCCTCCTAAATCAACTTTAATGAACGTCCAGGACGATTATTTTGGAGGGAGGGGGAGGGGAAGGGCAGAGGACTGTTGATCAGTCAGCGCCTTATCTACGTACCTATATTCCGCTCTCTCTCTCTCTCTCTCTCTCTCTCTCTCTTCCTTTATCGAGAGACTTTGCTAGTTCTTAGGGTTTGCAGGTTGAAGGACACTGGAACCGTAGATCACAGATTTATTGATCATCCAATCTAGCGCAGGGCTATGTGAACGAGAAACAGAATGTGTGTGTGTGTGTGTGTGTGTGTGTGTGTGTGTGTGTGTGTATGTACAACTCCCTTTGAGAGCAAATTTCCGAAAGAACCATAGAACCCAAGGATCACCAGATCAACACCAACCGTAGAGCACCACAAATGCAGAGAAGAAAGAGATAGGAAATGTACAGGTGTCAAACGAGTGTACTGACTTTTCGAGATGTGCATCGCAGAGAAGTCGAAAGGGGGCATATTTAGAGGGATGGGGGAAAGCCAGGGCATGGAGAAAGTAACCAGAAACCACCAGACGAGCTGGATATGGTCAGATACAGTCACTATCTGTACAGTGTGCAAAGTGCATGGGAGAACAGAGACAAGAACTTGGGGGCAGGGGAAAGGGGAAGTTTTGAGGAGATTGAGGGGCTTCATCACGGCATTAAAAAAACAAAGGAAAGTAAAGGGTGTTGCGTCTTCATATGACAATCAAGCATTCAGAGTCAAGATGCAGCGCACCAAAAAATGCATCATCGAAGCTTTCACCATGTCTCGCACGGTCAAACTCCGGTTCACGAATATTCAATCCACCCAAGCCGTATAAACTCCGAAGTATGTCTTGAATTATTAAATGGTATATTGACGATGAGGCGTCAACAGTAAATACCCAAAAAGGCGTGTATGTCAAGAGTTTCCGGGTCAACCGGCGAAACTGAAAGACAAGATTGCCGACACTCGATGTGCATGGGGCGTGTCAAGGCATGGCGTTTTCCTTGTGCAATAGTAGCTACCTCAAATTGCGAATGATCTTTCTTCCCCGGACCAAGAATGGGCTGGGCATCTCGTCTTTTTCGGGATCCCACACGGCCGGGGGGTCTCGCGCACTGGATTTCAAGCCCCGGGAGTCGCTGGCACACCGCTTGATCTCATCAACGGGACGGCCACCCGCGCGCGCCTGCGCCAGTTCAACCAACGTCCTTCCACCCATGTTGCGCTGCATCACGGCCTTGTACATGTCCTCACCGCCATTGTTGGTTTTGGAAGGAAGTTGCTTGACGCCAGATTTGCGTGTGGGTGAGCCAGCATCGGCAGCCAGATTCGCTGAGGATGGGATTTTGGACAAACGCCGATGAGGTGATCGGGGCTTGCTCTCTCTCGGAAGCATGTCGGAGAGGCCACCCGAGACCTGTGGTAGTCTGGAAGAGTTGGTGGGGAAGATAGGCGGTTGGGTGCTTAGCTTCTGCATGAATGCGGCCGTGTTCTGTCGTAAGAGTGGTCGCGAAGGGGCTTTGAACGGGTCTGGCTTAACCTTGGGGCGAGTTGGGGAGGGCAGATCGGGAATATCGTCCTCATCATCGGAATACGCTAGGGTGGGTTCCCATTTCGCTCGCTGTCTCTCAGCTTCGGCGAAAATGTTCTTGCCGGAGGAAGTTCCAGATGTGCGACGGGGAGACAAGGAGAGCGATGCAATTGAGATGGGTGAGGGCTCGGCCATTTGGACGTCCATTGGTGACTCGACCACGGTCTTCGAACGAGTTAATGGAGTGCGCGTCTCCTTCCGCGGGGCCTTGCTGGGAGCGGGAGATTCGAGCGATAATTGGGTGATATCGGCGCTCGGTGGGTTACTGCCATCCTCATTGCTGCTGGATGACTGGGATTGTTGGCTGTTTGATCGGGAATTGCTATCCTCTTTGAAAGCACCGCTCTTCTTTTGCTTCTCAACTTCTAGTGCAACTCTTTCCTGAACTTCAAAGTCGAATCGCTTTCGGAGTTTTTCCAATTCATTCTGCACCTGACGGTCGATCTCCAGCCGAGCCTTGACTTCCCACTCTCGTCTGACGGTGTTTTCCAACTCAGCCTTCATCTGTTGCTTTTCCCTGTCCATTTTGGTGTATGCTTGTTCCACTTCTCTAGCCTTCTGAGCGGCAGTCTCTTCACGCTTTCGCAGAGTCTTTTCAAGGTCGGCAACTTCCTTCTCCCTGCGCATCAGGCGAATGATGGGAAGGTTGATCAGCGCTGCAGTATCGGGGCGATGGTCCGGGTTGACGCGCAAGCAGCTTGCAATAACATTTTTCAGCTCGGGTGAGTAGAAGTCAGGCAGGGGAGCAAATTTTCCCTCGCGTATTCTCTGAATGAGTTGAATGTGAGTTCTGGCGTTGAAGGGTGGCTCTTTCTGGCACAGTTCATACATGATGCAGCCGACAGCCCAGATATCAGATCGCAATGTGTAGGGCTCCGCCGCACAGATTTCAGGCGACATGTAAAACGGGGTACCGACGTAGGTAGATGCGAAGTCTTGAGAGTTCATCAGCTTCGATAGACCGAAGTCACCGAGCTTCACAGTGTTGTCACTGCCAAGGAAGATGTTTTCTGGTTTGAGATCGCGATGAAGGATGGTCATCTGAGCCTGCTTCCCTTTGAGACCGGACTGCTTAGGAGCAGGGCCTAGGATGCTCCCAGCTTCAAGAGGATCAGAACCGTAGTGGCAGCGGTATAACGCCGTCGCCAATTGGGAAAGAATGCGCCATACGAATTCTTCCTCTGCAAATTTGTTCGTCTTTTTCAGGTTCTTGATGATCATGCTGAGATCCCCACCACCACAATATTCCATGTAAAGGTACAGGTCCTGACTCGCTTTGAGGTGTTCGCGATGGTAGTAGGCGACGATGTTCGGGTGTCGAAGAGAGCTTAGGATATTAAATTCGGCTGTCAGCTGTTCTCGTTCCTTTTGCGACATCTTGATGTAGTTGATCTCCTTGCGACAGAGTATCTATGACAGAGGTGATTGTAAGCATAAGAGGGTCGATGCTGTAACAGTGAATGGATCCTTACAAAGCCGTCTGCCTTTCGTCGCACTTTGCGAATGATTCCGAAGGAACCGCAACCTAAGCATTCGTGATCAGTAAGTTGATGTCCGAAGCCCACCTGCATGCCTAGATGGTAGTCAAGGGTCTCGTACCAATCTTTTCAAGCACCTCATACTTGTCTGCCTCCGCTAACGCAATTGCCATTGTGGCTGCTGGGAGGAAAGACCGCAGACAAGAATATGAAGTATAAGGCGAAGGTTGGGAATAAGTGGCGAGAGGATGAGCCCGAGTAGCCTATGGCATTTATGAGTCGATAATGTGTGACTGGAACCTGCTGGGTTAGTATGGAGCGATGTTGGGTGGGAACATGTGGTTGCGGTTGTAGATTTAAAGAACTAGGTATGCAACGGGGACGGAAGTGCTGAATGTTTAGGTGCAGACTGTTGCTGAGCAACGGCTGCCGGCCACGACTCTTGCCTGGTTACAGCAGGCGGTGGGGATGCCGGGCGGTGAAGCGGGTCATTGATCATCATCATCGTTCCGTCAGTGGTTCGGGACGTCAGAAGCGGTTCACAATGCTGCATGGGACAAGATAAACATCAAAAGCTTGCTCGCTTGAACCTGCAAGACGCCCTTTGATAAGTGGGGTATCAACAAGATCAAGCGTACTGAATAGAAAGAGAACCAGACCAATGCAAGGGAGCAAGGAAGTTCTTTCACTCCCCCTTGGTCCCTTGTGGGCAGGGGCTTTCTCGCTAGACTCTTTTCTCACGTGATCCGAGCTTATCGATAAGATGATTCAAATGTTGCCCCGTTTGGGGTTGTCCCCCCGCCGTCCTCCGCAACAATTACCTGCATATCTTAGAGAATTGCTTGCATCTCATCTACGCTGCCAATTTCCTACTCTGGCACAATGGATGAACCGAAGGTACTCCGAAAGGACCAGCTGGAGATAAGCTTGCACAATGAGAAGAAGCTTATCAAAGAGGGGACAATCAAGGACGATAACCCTCTTGACCTCAGCGAACCCTTCCGGGAGCTCTGCAATGCTTGTCGCAAGGGGGATTTGAAAGTTTGTCAGGAGAAGATCACGGAAGGAGTCAACATCAATGCCCGCGATCCATACGATTATACCCCTTTGATCCTGGTAAGTCTACCATGAATCACTATCATGCCGTTGTCCATGTTCGGCGTGGCGAGTCGGCGTTGCCGTGCAGTAGTAACCAGCATCTGTGCAAAAGGCAAGTCTCTGTGGCCACTACGAGGTCGCTCAGCTGCTACTCGAGTCCGGAGCTTTATGCGAACGGGACACTTTTCAGGGAGAAAGGTATGCACCTTGTCATCTGTGTCACTTTCGATGTCTAGTGGTTATCAGTCAGCCCACGATGTTAACATAAGTATGATAGATGTTTGTATAACGCCCTCAATGATCGGATACGGAATCTGCTCCTGGAATACGACTATTCGAAGTCGACGGATCCCCTGCAGCCTCTTGCAGCTCATATCACGTCACTTCTCACTCGCGAGAGCCCTGCGACAGCGGATATTGTTGTAACAGCAGGCGATGAGTCTCTCCATTTGCACAAGTTTATCTTGGCCGCACGGTCTCCCTATTTCCGCAACAAATTGGCCACTGCCCCGGACACGTCGACGTGGAGGCTCCCTAGCACAATGCCACCAGAAGCATTCGGGACAGCGATCAAATACCTCTATTTTGGCGAAGCTCCGCGCGACATCCGGAGTGGCCCAGGGACCGGATTCACCGAGTCTGAGGTCTTTTCCAATATCGATAAGATTGCCAAGCATTTGGAAATCAATACGCTTTTGGATAGTATATTGGACAGTGGCGATAGAAGGCTCGCTCGACAAAGACGGACACTCGAGGTGGCCAAGGGGCGAGACCAATTGGAGGAGTGGTTCCGGGCGAATGTACTCCAGCACAAGGTGACTGTGGAAACCTCACGAGCGGATGAAGTCAAATGGGACAGAGAGAACACCTTATTTGCGGACGTCTTGCTCCGCGCAGACGAGGACCTCGATGATGTGGACGAGCATGTTGGCACCAACGGCGATTCTACCAATCCCCGCGTCCAGAAGAGCACCCTATTCCCCTGCCACCGGGCCATGCTTCTACGCTCTGAGTTCTTCCACACCATGTTCACCTCCCCCTTTCGCGAGGCGCACATGAAGGATCATCTCAACATCATCCCGGTTGATTGCTCCCCGGAGGTCCTCGAGATCGTGCTCACGTTCCTCTACACGGAGCGCGCAGACTTCCCGCTCGACATCGCCGTCGACGTTCTTTTCGCCGCGGACATGCTCTTCATCGAGAAGTTGAAGACGAAGGCCGCTGTTGTGATCAGTACCCTGGGCAGCGGCAACATGTCGCAGGCCGAAGCCGCCCGCACACGCGGCACCATGGAAGAGGACGACCTCGACATCTACGCCATTATCCGCGCGGCCTGGCTGACGCGCGTGCAGCGCCTCGAAGAGTTCGCCGCCCGTTTCCTTGCCTACCGGCTGGAAGCCCATATCGACTCCCCCGAGTTCTCGGAATTGATCCAGGAGTCTGCTGCTCGCATTCAAGGTCGTCAGGAGACCGACTCCATCGAGCTGCTCGACGACATCCGGTTCTACCTCGGTGAGCGCTTCCGGCTCCGGTTCGACGATGCCGGTATCGACGAGATGATGGAGGAAGAAGCGCGGCAGCAATCCGTCGCACAGGCCCAGAATACCACTACGGAGACAGAGGGTAATGAAGAGAACGGTACCGGTGTAGACCACGTTGCCGAGGGGGTGGGAGCACTGGACCTCTCTAGCACCAGGAACGGAACTTCACACCCAGTCCCAGCCACGGACGAAGACTCAGATCAACAACAACAACAACAACAACAACAACAACCCGTCATCCGTACGCTGGACGGTGAGGTCGTTGTGGACGAGTTCGATCAGGATGCGCTCAACTACCAGATTCTCATGGACAAGCTCGATGGAATCTTGGAGGCTCTGGACCTTGATGCTTGAGTTGACATGACCGTTCTGTTTTTCGCCAATTCCTTCCTGGTATGCGGGATGATGATTGATGATAACTATATACATATATACGCCGGGAACTGCCACCTATATACATAAACGGCCCGGGGAATGCCTTTGCACAGTAAGGGAGATCGAATCTATACAAGGGAATAGATTGGTAGAAATAATACAAGCATAGAAAGAAGCCACTTCCCCTTCGCTTGAACTGTGCACTACAATCTCGGGAATAAATGCCACAGGAACCAGGGGGCCCAAGACAGCGTGCAATCCGTACATACCTGGAGTGCGGTCGAAAGAGTATCAAGGCAAAGGAAGCCGTTTGTCTGCGCCGTAATCCTTCCGCACCCAAACCAACCCTTCAAAGGGGTCTCTCCTCTCCTTTGAGAAAAAAGCACGTAGGCGCTTCGCTGCCTATGGAGGACGCAAGCTCGCTCGCTCACTATCCCCAAGACACCATCCATCCATCACAGTCCCCAATCCACAGCCACAGCCACAGCCATCCATCCACCATCCAGCTAGAAATTCTCCCCACCAAGCAAAAAGACATGCAAAACACACTGTACCCATACTTCCCATACTTCCAACCCCCACCACCCTTCTCTCCCCAACTCCAGAAAAACACATAACATATAACATATGACCAGCCCCAATCATAAGATCCCCTAACAACACCAGCAACAAAACCACCGTCTCCTCAGAAACCCCCCAGCCACGCGTTGCAACATTCCATCCACCACCACAACAACCACCACCTGTTCCTCCCTCTGGAGAGGTAAAGACCAAGCCCCAGGGATAAAGATCCCACAACCCCCAACACATACAGTACACCACAAGATACATCCCCGCCGACCTCATACGATTACTTTTCCCGGCCCTCGCCCTCACTACGGAGTACTAAAGAGATTTTGAGTTTCGAAGTTCTCCTCTCGACTAAGGTTTGCGTGGACTGTACAGTACACAGTACACTACAGGTATGTTGTGCTCGGGTGGAAGGAAGAAAAGCGTCTGACCACTACACGGAGTGTGCTTACGGGGAAGGTGATATGGCTGATGGCCGATGGGGAGATGTGACGGAGTTGCGTCCCGAGCCGCCGCCGAGGCTGGGTGCGCTCTGTTTAGGACCGTGTGTACAGTACATGTCAGCTGGAATTTGAGTCATATGGTGGGCGGTTGCGACGGTTGGGGAAGACCATACATAGGGTTTTTTGTTTTTGTTTTTTTCTGAGTGCATGAGGGCAGGGCGGTTGCTCGGGGGTCAATGCTTGAGTTGACTTTTGAGAGGCGACAAAGTGACAACTCACAAAGAGGGGTTCTCTTGAATGCGGTTAATCCGGCGTGAACCCTCACCTCTTACCTTCAACAGCTGGCTTGTAGTCCCCCAATTTACGTCCAGTTACAATCATCCTATGACGCACAAAAGTATTTCTGGCACAAAAGTATTTCTTGAGATCTTCTTGATATTGAATGTTGATAATTTTTTGTTCACAAGGTGGTCATATCACGTCATTGGATACAAAGGAAATGAGATGACACAAGGAAAAGCATAACACAACAAAATAAACCCATAAAAAACAGAATAAAAAAAAGTAGAAACTGGAGTCAAGGGACTCCAGTTTCTGTTCACCATATTCTTCCCCTGCAACAACCTCTAGCTGTCACAGCTCATGGAACATAGCGTGTTTCTCCCAAAACCTTCATCCGCAAGCGATGCCTGCTCCTTTCGCACGATAATAAACAAGAATGGTGTTGGGCGGGGGTGATGAGATCCAAAAAAATCATTCAAATATACACAGGGTGAGAAAGAGAAGAAAAAGATGTATGGGGACCTCTTTTTGGTGATACACCGTAGCCCCCCGCCCTCCTAAGCTTTTTGCACAAAAAAAAGAGATTTTTGTTCGATGCAAAGAAGCAGAAAGAAGATAAAATGGTATATATGAACACGCAAAGCAAAAGGGTATCATCAGAAGAAGCAATGCAGAGCAAAAGAAGTGTCGCTGGGAGTCATGGGTATTTGAGGGAAAAATCTGGAGAGAAGAAATAATTCTCTCTCATTGCTTGTGCTTTTTTCTCGGTTTGCCGGTGAATGGTATAGTTGGGGTCGGCCTTTTGTTCGCAGAGGTAATGCGATATACTCAAGCCCATTATACCATGGCGGTGGCAACGGGCCGGCCGGTATGACAGCCACGTTCGTGGCGCTTCATGTTGCTCCGCACGCTGAAGGCTTTGCCACAACCCGCGTGGGTGCAACGGAAGGGCTTTTCTCCTGTGTGGCTGTGGGAGTGGATGCGGAGACTGGAAGGTCTCGAGAAGGCCTTGTGGCACGTTCTGCAGATGTATCGGTCGTGGTTCTGCTGGTAGGGGGCCGTGCTGGAGGGAGGGAAGTAGTGGTGATGCTGCCAGGCCGGGGTCACAGGGGTGATCATTTGTTGGTGTGCGGCGGTTGGCAGAGAGGCAGTGGAGGGAGGCACGCTGCTGGCGGGTTGGTAGGTGGACGAAGAGGAGGTCGGTCTCTGGAAGTAGATAGCCGAGGAGGCCGAAGGCTCAATGGGAGAGGAGTAAGAAGCGACGCTCGGGGCGGGAGAGACGTAAGGCGCGGCGGAGACAGGAGCCACGGAGCCCTGACTAGAGATGGAAGACCGATCCGATGGACTGGGGAGTCTCACCGGCGCCTGGGTGTATGGCTCTGCGCGGTTCACGGTGGCGCCGTCGCTGACGGCGGAGATCGACGAGGTGGGAGAGTGGCTAACGCTGTTGAACCCAGAACCAGGACGCAACGGAGGCGTAGGTGGCAAGCCGATCTGGGGGCCATTGGCCTTCATCGCATCCAAGGGTTGCGAGGGGAGGCGGGTGTCCAGCTCGCGCTGAACTGGCGGAGTAACTCTTGCACGCTCTGCATTGCGACGGTCAGCACTGACCGGATTGATGGTCCAAATAGGCCGTTTTGGATATTATGGGGAGGTTGCCATACTAGCTGCGTGCATGGAGGCACCGTCTGCGCCTTCGAGCAGGGTCGAGATAGAAGGCAGAGAGCACTTGGGGGGCATTTCCTCGACCGGCGGGGAAGGAGGGGCGCGGGAGTAAGACACCGGCACGGAAGCGAAGTATGAGTCCGGCGCGCGCTTATACGAAGCCAGGCGAGGGGCCGGGGGGCTGTAGGAGGCTCTGGACATGCTCATTGCGAGGGGATCTGGTCCCGGTTGAGTGATAAGGCTAGCGAGATCCATGATGGGCGACGGTGAGGGTAGTTGTAGTAGATGAGAATCAGTAGTGGTGGTAGTGGTGGACAACTGTTGATGTTGTTGAAGTTCAAGGCTGGAACGGGAAGGAGGAAGAAAGGGCAAGTGATTGTTTCTCTTGAGGTTCAAAAAAGGCGGCTACCCAGAGTTCATATATGAAAAAGACTGGAGGGAACTGATGGAACGGGGTATAAGAGATCCAATCTAAGAAACAATCCAGGCACGGTAGTCGAGACAGGTGGGGGTGGATATGAGAACCAGGAGGAGGAACTGGTTTATAGACCCAGAGCGATGGTGGAGATGCAGGGTTGGCAATCATGGAATTGTTTTCGAGAAAAAAGAATTTCTTTTTATTTTCATTTCGGTTTTTTGAATTTTCTTTTTTTTTGCATTTTCTTATTTTTATTTTTTTCGGGGGAGAGGATGAGATGGGGGGAAGGAGGAGGGGAGATGGGGAGGTGGAGGGAAGTGGAGGGGGGATGTGGGAGGAGAGATGTGGACTTCCATCCTAGTCCAAAAACGAAAGATAATATTTTTTATTAAAAATTGCACATCAATCAAATGTTAATTATAGCGCTGGTAAACTCCGGCCGTAGCGTTAGACGACGAGTGGAACCACAAAGAGAGAGTTGAAGATGGAGCCGAGAAACTGAAAAGAAGGAGAAAAGCGGGAGAGGCCGCCGCCGCGAACCTCCCCTATTAGGATTTACTCATGGAAAATACTGCAACTGAAAGAAAGGATAGAGAAAAAAGAGAATAAAATAGAACCAAAAAAATCAATACAAAAAAGAAATTGTGCCTGGCCAGGGACAGAACACTCAGTCCTACACACACACAGCATCATGTAACTACATCGACTACCGACACAAAGTATAATTTCACTATACACTACTCCGTATATTCCTTATTTTCCCGCGCTTCGCTGCTGCTGTTGCTGGTACTTACAACCAACCACTTAACTGTAACAGTACATGGATTTTCCCCCGAAGCCCGCAGTGGCCACTGACTAGTAGTAACTACTCGAGCCACAGGGAAATCCCCATCGTCGCTCTTCTCGATTCGCTTCGACAAGGGCTGATACCACCGTCTCAAAGCTTAATTAATGACCACTGACCCGGTACACGCGATGACTTGCGCCGGTGGTTCTCCGGGCCCTTCGTTTAATTATTTTGGCCGCGTCTGATTCGACACGCGACGTAATTATTCCGAGGGAAAAATCGCCTTTTGTCTTTTGCGGGTACCGTAACGCATGTGTTGTTTGTCCCCACGCCTATACTGGAGCCCCCCTCCTCTCCTCCCCTTCTTCCTCTCACTCCTCCTTCGCATACCGTAGCTATGCGACTAAAAAAGGATGATTTGCCATTAGCTTTATCGTTTTGGGTAGGCTCGACGAGAGCTAAAAAAACGTGCGCCGCCTCCGCTGTCCACACCCGCATGATGGGTGTACCCTGGGTCAAATCGACGGGTTACCAAAGATCAGGAAGACTGAAAGACCGGAACAAGACAAGCGACAGACAGCGCTGTCGGAAGATGCCTCTTCCACGCTGGCTGAATCAGCGAAACCCTGGACTCGACCCATGACATCAAAGCAGATGAAAGGATTCAGGTCGGAGACATTTCTTCCTGTTATTCTTCCGTCGACTATAAGCTAGTGGAATCTTGTATAGAAGTAGGAAACACCTCCGTTCGTCGAACGGAGCAATATAGAGAGCAGAAATAATAATACGGCGGAAATAAGAAAAGGAAAATAAATTGCCCAGACAGCGCTCCTGAAAAGACCAGCAGCAGGCGTACGTAACTGCGTCGTACGGAGGCCGACAGATCGGCCGATGGAAAACCAACGGTACTTTCGGGGCTCGGCTACAGTAAGTCTGGCGCTAGTGCAGATCCACGGACACCTTTCCTTCTCCATCATGCGCCTGCCAGGAATCAATCATCGATCATCATCCATCATGGATTCATGGGGAGAGTGGGAGAGAGTGAGAGAAGAGGAGGGAGGGGAGGGGGGGACGAGCCGGCGCCCTCCTAAACACCCCCCTCCCCCCCCATTGGATCCCATGCCCATTATCCACCCGGTATTATCGCGGTAATGGCCAGATTCGACAGAGAGGGCCCCTCTTGCCAGCCGATCGTTTGGAGGATTCATAATAATTATCATTATAATGGAAAAAAAAAGACCAAGGAGACAAGAGAGAAAAGGGCTAGTCTCCGTCCAGGTTTTACCTGTCACAACGATCCCATGCCCCATAAACGGCTGATCGTTGCCGCACGATCACACACATCGCTTGAGAACCTGATCTCATCTTCCAAGACCAACTTCCCACCCTGAATCATCATCATCGTCTTCATCATCTTCATCGTCATGATTCGTCTGTAGATCGTTCGGTCCCTTTGTCTCTCGGAGGGGCCTGCAGTCGTAGATCAGTGGAGGAACATTTGCCGCCCGAGAAATGCCAACCCGTCCAGGTACACAAACCCATCAATCAGCCTTGAATGCAGTCATGACTTCAAGAAAGACGAGATATTGCTAGCTGCTGTAGTCGAAATCACCAGTTCGGGGAACACAGTGTGTCCTGGGTCCCATGCCAACCCTGGTTGCTCTCGAGTTCGATCCGTTCTCTCTAGCTTCTAGCGGGAAACTGATCCATTCCCCAGGGTATCAATTCATCAGTGCAAGACTACGTACGAGCCCTTCATTCACCCTTCATTAAAAAAGGGGGGGAGAGAACCTGCCACCACCCCAAAATAGGCGCATCTGCGCCGAAAGCAGGGCTGTAGATCGGAGGATGGATCTCAAGATGGGCAGAGTGAGATTATTGACCAAGGTGATTGAATCGACACAACAATTCTAAAAGGGTAATGAGTCCGTGATTTGCGTCCATCCACAAACCAAGCCCTTGGGGCCGGATGACGGAGTTGCGGCACGATGCGCAGATGGCAGGTCTTGGTTTGGGAGCGCTCCCCTAAGCCACAAACAGCTAGCCCAGGCCGCCTACAAGGGAATCTCTGGGCGAATGATGGCCTACTGGGTACTGGGTAGGTAATGCCGGTCTGCCACTCCTTTCCTTTCTGCGCTTGCTTTGGGGGCCAATTGGCCAAGGGATCATCCTAGTATGAGGGAGGCCTCCCGGAGATTATCGTGGCGTTGACAGCCAACGAGAGACATCAAGCAAACCTTAAACACAGATGGAGCAAGAATTGGCGAAAGACCTGAAAGCCTTACTGGTACTCAGAAATCTGGCCCAGGAGGTGGCTGACTAACTAAGCGTTAGGGTTGAATGTTCGTCCGTGTGATGGATGGACTTTTGTTTGCTTATTTGCGACCGGTAACCTATATCGCTTGAATTTTGGGCACTGGATGGCCTGTGCAGAAAAGTAAGTGACCTACCAACTGCAAGGTGAGGAACAGGCGGAATGCATGGATAGCTTATGCATAATGAGAGTGCATGTAATCCCGTCCATGACTAAGACGTCTCTTCCTGGGGCTTGATGGAAGCAACTTGGAAGACACAGACCAAAGCCCCTCCCGTGATTGATCACCTCTGACTCGACTCTGACTCGACTCTACAAGTGTTTTGTGCCTGGTCAATGACGTCGACAACGAAACATGTCCAGTGCCCAGTTCTCCTAGCTGTACTCCATTCTCTGAGTGTATGTATGGAGTACGTAGCTCTCAAACTTTTTTTTTTGTTTCGCATGCGCGGCTAGTGTATGCTGTCCATATCCAGGCTCGACCCAATTGTAAATGCCGATGAGGGGGGAAATTGGCTGTCAATCGTCTTTGGGATTAGGATCGACCGCGGAGGGATTTACTGGGTCGAACTCTTCGTCGACAGTACGAGTTCGAGCCAGAAGAAGGCGACCAACAGCTGATGTAAACGCATAAACGCAGCTTTTCCATGGTCAAAAGAGAAAAGTCCAAGCCCGAATAAGAATAGACAAGAACTGGCTTCGGGAGATCCCTTGGTTGATGACTGGGTTGTTTGGTGGTCGGTACCTGCCTGTGCACGAGACAAAATACCTCGGCCGGCCATGGAATGCGATTCCGGAAAGGGTTACAGAGACGAGGTGGACACCACAACTACCCGATGATCATCAGTGCAGCAGAAACAAGCAGCGGTGCTGTAGCTGTACAGACCTATACACTAGGAGAATTACCCTTTTGGCTTTTTTTTTTTTTTTTGAGATCAGTCTGTCAGGCGAATTGTCTCATGCTTGAGCATCTGACCTTTGAAGTTTGTTCTTTTCAACCCCTGGTTCATACACGCAGACTCAGGCAAGCATGCGTGGCACGCCTTGTCTCCAAGGGAGGAAGGAAGATCATCAGATAGTGGCGGGTCACACCGCCCCAGCCGATTACTGCATACGTACCTGAACGGTCTCTGAGGGGCGAAGACCACACACAGCCTCAGGCCTTGTCTGTTGTTTGTCTGGCGTCTGGCGATCGAATGAGGTAATGACCCCGTCCGGGTAACTCATTGCCAAGCTCCTTGTTGGAAACAACCTGCATCACAATGGCACAGTCCATTCCATTCAAAGCAGGGGGATCCTCGACAGTGATAGAACATGCCAACCATGCTAATCCATGCTAACCCATGCTAACCCATGCCAACCGTCGGCGACGCCGAATTACATCATCATTAATCAACCAATAAACCCCTCAAGCATCAAAGATGAACAGGCTACTCGACGAGGCACATAGCGATGCTGCAAGATTACTGAGTACTCTGAAGGATGATCGTCCCCAATAGACGAACATATCTGAATCTATTCTCTATACTGAGGACCACGCTAGCAACTCGCGTGGTGATAGTGGTGGTGATGATGATGATGATGACGTTACTGACGATGGTGTCGATACTGCCACTTCTGCTGCTAGCTGGTGTTGTTAACAACAGTAGTTAACGCTGCTGCTGAGGGGATTATTATTGTGGGACACTAAGAAGAATGGATTATGAGGCCCAGGTTGACGCGTAGAGGACCGCTCAATCTGCCCACCCAAGAGACCCATACCCATGTGCAGTGGTCCCAAACTTTAATAGACGAGGGACTCAGTGAGAAGACAGAGACGGCTCTAGCTACGTAGCTAGTAGTCTAGTGGAAGGCTGGTCTCGTGGAGTCGGCGAAGCGAAGCTCACCCGCCGGTTCACTGTGTGGGATCCGCAGCAATCCGCGGGCCCCGTCGGCTCCTGCGCGACGCATTGAAATCAGTACAAGTGCAAGGCTGCTATCACTCATAGAGCTTAGTCTCACTGCTCGTCTCCATTTCTTTTCCCATGTGCTTTCCAGCCTTATTCGATGGGCAAAAATGGGCCTTCTATCGCCCTCTAGGCAGCTAGTTTCCGATCTTGAGTCTCATTCCCCGTCCCACGGCCTCGGAACCCCAGTGTAGTGCCCAATTTGACCTACGACGCATTCGGGGCACTTGAGTACTGACCGCGCACTCACTCAGTCCCTCACTGAATGCTCGGTCGTCGGTTCTCGGCTTCGGTTCACAGACATGATACGCCCTGGAATGTCTTCGAGCTTGGACTATAACCCTCTTCTCTCTCTAGCCGATACAAACCCATGAAACATTATCAAACGATACCATCCCAGAATCGGCACCGCTTCCGTTCAACTTAGATGAAGCTTGGGGGGATATGTATTGTATAAAGTGTGGATGCACCGTCGTAATTGAAACCTGGAATACCGAAGGGAGACGAGCAAACTCCGAACTCAATTTGCATAGCATCGGCCGGCTCCGCGAGAGAGAGAGAGAGAGAGAGAGAGAGAGAGAATGTGAGAGCGATTCCAGAACGACGCCGGGCGGCGTGAGGAGTGGGTGCGGGCAGAAGAGACGCTCCGGTTGCTAAACTCGGATACATACTATGTAATTTGTGCTCAATAGTGCCTTAGTTTAGTTCTCGTGTGCGAAGTATAACTAGCGACCATGCGGCTACACCCGGTGGTCACCTTTTTGAGGATGTAATCGATGACCTCCTACTGCTCCCTACCACTCGTCTCAGCCTCCGTATATGGATGGATGAATCCACGGGTGATTCAAACTCACCCCCAAGGGCCTAAGGGTAAGGTTACAGAAGATAGCCTTTACTTAAGCGCGTGGGACGTGTTAATCATCTGAGCTTAAACCCAAGCATCTTGAACCAAAAAATAGGGGACCTACCTGATCTGGGATATCTCGACGAACTGATGCTCTCCAGCCAGCCAGTCACCCAGCATCCGCGAGGCTTTGCTCAAAAAGAAAAAAAAAAGGGGGGCAAGAAGGAGGGTTCGGCAGATTCCGCATAGCCCCAACCCGCGTCAAACATGCGGGACAATTTGGTGCCCAGGAAACTCTGCCCAGAGAGCGGGTTGGTTGCCTGAAGTTTGGTAACAACTGCAGGCACACAGGAACCCCTCCCTCCCCCTTCAACTAATGCGTATCGACGTATAGCCTGCTCTTTTGAGGCACTTTCCACGACACATGCTGTGCAAGCAACAAATGTTACGTATATTGCACCCACCCTTTCCCTTAAGTTCCGACTGAAAAAGGGCCTATTCTCCCCCCTGCCGTGAAACGCGTATGTGCATAACCACTCGTCCCGCGTTAACTTGCCGGAGCGGCAGTGGCAGCCTCGGAAGAACAACTGATTCAGATGTGATGCATTCGCGGTAGGATGCTTGTTCCCGCGGGTTGCTTTCAAAAACGCATAGTGCACCTTGGCCCCTAGCGTTTCATTGTTTGTTGAATTTGGGTGAGATGATTCAGCGTTAGTGTGTTCGGCAATGGTCGTGTTTTCGGCCACCCGACGGAGATATCCCGAGATCAGCTTGATGGAGATTGACGATGATGCGCGCGCCGATCATCCCAACGCTCCCTCCAACGCTCCCAGCTTTGACCGCTCAGAGCGGCATTCCTGATTACATAGTCACCGGCAATACTACTGCATGCTGCTTAGTGGCGGGTATCGATACTGTGGCGCCCTCCCCTGACAACTAGTTGAATACCTATTC